ATATATGAAAATGTGTAGACTTTGTAAGTGCACTTGTCACTTATAAAGATGAGCCAATGGATCTACAAAATGGATAGCTCTATTTTCTTTTACAGAATGCACTGGTCTGAACTTGTGTCAAATATTACTGAACACAGGTATTGATTGGAATTGTAACCTGTTGAGAATATGACCATTGAATTTGAGGATATACAACACAGTACAGATAGTTGTTATCAAGTTTCCCTGTTTGTCATGTTTATCACTGAGCAAGTTAACCACCGCATAGTAGCCATCCATACTAGCCTTGTTTTCTGTTCTCCCTCTAAACTATCATTGAAGAAATAAAATTATCTTGTTTAATAATATATCTACAAAATAAAATAATAAGTAAATCCAAATGGAGCCCAGAACAATGCATAATTTCAGATAGAGCTAAGGCATTGCCGCAATCTGGACTTGCCAAATCATTCTAGACTTGACGTGGATTCATTATTTCATTTATTCTCTAGGGGCTGGAAGACTTCTCTCTCCCTGGTAAACTGTATTAACACTCTGATCAACCATTGCTAATGACATCCATACTTTCTCTTAAGATGTTGAATGAATTCTAAAAGCAAGGTTTTTACAGGTTTGAAAAGGCTTTGAGTTTTAAGGTCCCTCTTGACATGCTTGAAAAGCCTTGATTTTTAGTGTCAACCTTAAAAAGACCTGAAAATCACCAAAATAGCTAGAAAAGCCTTGAATTTGTATAAAATGAAATAAACTTGTTTATGAAAGTATTACAATTTATGACTGAATTTATTGTATTTGTTTGTTGTGAAAATATATCATGCCGTTTCTTAAATATTGCAACTAATATATAGTGTTTTGAATTATGAACAAATATTGACACATTAAGGCAAATAACCCAGCTAAAAAAAGCCTTGAAAATGACAATTGAAAGCCTTGAAAAGACTTTGAATTTGAGTGTTCCATATCTGTATGAAACTTCAAAAGTGTTCTATCAATATGGCATCTGATTAATAATTACAAATATGTTTATCTGATAAGATTAACCTTACTTTGTTTGAATGATTACAAATTTGGAGATCCTAATTTTGTAATTGTGATAATTGTCCCATGTGCAACTAGAACAGAACATTTTACAGATTATTTAATAAGTAATTGACACTGGAATTTTGTGAGAAAAGGTGAATTATTTATGATTTGAAAGTTATTAGTATTCGTCATGTTCACAGTAATGTTGTTTGATGTTTCACATGATTCATGCAATATTCTGTAGTCACACATTAAGAAGGTATTAAAGCACTGTCAGAACCAGTGTTGCCAATATAGCAGAATCGTCCTTGTTTGAAAGTAGTAAGCATTCTTAGAAGAACAGGTTTTGCTGATTTACAAGCAGCAGTGTGGCATCACATGTGTAGAAGAAGTGTGACACATTTTGTAGCCAACATTGGATATTTATACACATAAGCACGCATTTATGGAAGCATGCATCACTTAAGGCATGCATCACAGATTTAGCAGCAACATCACAGACTTAAGAGAAGCATCACAGATTTAAGAAAAGCTTCAGAGATTTAGAGGAAGCATCAGCAATTTAGTAGCAGCATCACATACAAAGAAGCAGCATAACAGATTTAGAGGAAGCATTATAGATTTAGGAGAAGAGTCACATATTTAGAGGAAGCATTACAGATTTAGGAGAAGAGTCACAGATTTAGAGGAAGCATTACAGATTTAGGAGAAGAGTCACAGAATTAGATGAAGCATTACAGATTTAGGAGAAGAGTCACAGATTTAAAGGAAGCATCACTAATTTGGTAGAAGAGTCAGATTTAAAGGAAACATTACAGATTTAGGAGAAGAGTCACAGATTGAGAGGAAGCATCACTGATTTGGGGGAAGAGTCACAGATTTAGATGAAACATTACAGATTTAGAAAAGTCACAGATTTAAAGGAAGCATCACTTATTTGGGAGAAGAGTCACAGATTTAGAAGCATTATCAAAGATTTAGAAGAAGCATCACATATGTAGAGGAATCATCACATATTTAGGAAAAGCATAATATATTCAGAAGAAGCATCAAATACTTTATAAACAGCATGAAATATTAAAAAAGAGAACCAATCTTTCTGAAGCTGCATCACATGTTTAGCTGCCGTGTCAGATAGTTGGCAACACAATCACACAATCATTTCCATGTCGGACAAGATACGTATATCACACTTTCCAAAGCCATTTCACAGAAGACACATAACACATTTTGAAGCCATGTCACAAGATATATGTCCGAAATTGAGCGGCACATCCTACTCCAGAGAAGTTTATAGATGGTCCTGATGTTGTGCATGATGTAAAGTTGTCATCATTGTTTCATCGACTCCAGTAGCCCTTGCCAAACACACAGTAGTATCACGACACAATAGCTAGCATTGTGGCATCATCTAGTCGTTACACAGGTAAAAACATCACTGATAAACTATCCGCAGCACAAACTGTAGCACTGGTGGCTCTGTAGACGAAGGGCGGCGTGCAATCTAGGGGGCTATTGATTAAACATTATCAACAGGCTAACAGCTGGTTAGTTGAGTATAGTCTGTATCAGATTGAGACTTCCCGGACGACCACAGATTGTGTACATCTACACCGATCTTGTGTACAGGGAGACATGGCAGTAAATCATCTATCTAGTGCGAGCATCAACAACTTCTGCACGAACATAAGCCAATAAATAACATGAATATATGATTTCATACTCATGTTGTCATGGTAATACATGTGTTTAAGCTAAGGTGTTAATATATACAGAAAAGGGGTACAGAAAAAAAAAAGATAGGGATAATGAAATATGTGTTTCAAACTCCTTTTGAAATTGTGTGCTCAGCCTTCACTACAAACAAATATATAAAAAAATATTCATTATCCCTGACTTTTTTTAGTTGAGTCTATTATGTAACTCTGCTTGGGACATGTTAAACTCTATGTAAATAGAACAGATGTGAAGTACACCTTTTTTAGTTGATGAAGGAAAATGTTTTTTTTGTTTTGTTTTTTGCTATTGATGTTCATATCCAGTTACTGCTTGCTGCGTTTATGGTGATGATAATGGACATGTCAATGTGAAGTACCATGTTGACTTATATTTGTTGACCGCCCCCGTGGTCTTGTGGTAGAGCGTCCGCCCGAAGAGAGGAAGGTCCGGGGTTCGATCCCCGGGTCGCGTCATACAAAAAGACGTTAAAAGATTGTACTTGTTGTTACCCTGTCTGGCGCTCGGCATTAAGGGGCTAAAACAAGGACAGGTCGGCTCGGAGTCAGTATACTGTGTCTGAGTGCGGTATTCATGTTAAACTGCGGCATGGTATCTCAGTGTGCTACCACTATAAATCGGCATCAGTCCGGACTAGTACAAGCAGCCACACATACACGTGCATGCACGTCGCTATATAAGTGCAATAATCTTGGACTCGACGTTAAACCCAATTTCACCTCACCTCACCTCACTTATATTTGTTATCAACAGTGTTGGTTTGAAACTTCAGGAAGGTCCAAATACCCCCAGATTATCATGACATAGTGTCTATTTGCGTATGTGTCATCTGCATGGCATTTGGAAGTAAAACAAGAAAACATTAGTCGATGCTTGTTGTAGGATCTTGTTTTGTTTGTTTGTTTGTTGTTTAACGCCGCATTCAGCAATATTCCAGCCAATAATCGAGACTGGACCAGACAATCCAGTGATTGACATCATGAGCATCGATCCACCCAACTGGGATACAATGACATGTATCAACCAAGTTAGTGAGCCTGACCACCTGATCCCGTTAGTCATCTCTTACAGCAAGCATAGTCACCTGTTAGGCAAGCATGGGTTGCTGAAGACCTGTTCTACCCCGGATCTTCACAGGTGTTTGTTGTAGGAGCTGAAATATATAGATTGTTTATTGTTTGTTTAACACCGCACTCAGCAATATTCCAGCTATGTGACGTTAGTCTGTCAATAATCGAGTCTGTACCATGCAACTAATTGATTGACGTTAACATCGATGTACGCTATAGGGATACAATGACATGCATTCTGACCTAGATGAAACCTGAATAATGTTTCTCTCTCTGCTACCAGATTTCTTCTTGTACTATCATGGGTATTAAATATGTACACAAGGTTTTTTTTGTGTATAAGCATCATTACAAAACTTATGTACATATTTAATGCTCATGATATAAAATATCAAAATATGATATCATTGCAATGTTCTAAACCACTTAAACATTAAAGGTTTTCTAACATTTTTGTTTTATATAGGCATCATTTCATATATGTATCATGATATAACATTTATACTAAGTTTTCCTATAATAATTAGATCCACATCAAGTGCTTTTATGAGTTATCATGGTGTAATATGTATACATCATTTCATATAATTATAGTTTAGCAAGTAATACTTATCATCAGGTAAAATGCATATATAAAATATCAGTAGTTTCAGTTATAGCCTTTTAGATAGATGCTAGCCTAAGGTAATGGGAGCACATCTCCTAGACATACTATTCAGTAAGACAAGAGTTATGTCTACATCTATGTCTATGATGTGGATCTAATTATTATAGGAAAACTTAGTATAAATGTTATATCATGATACATGTATATGTACATATTTAATGCCCATGACAGTACATGTATATGGAAGTGTGAAAATACCTGGCTACTAAAATCTAAGAACGGCTCGTAAAAACATATCCAGGCAGCCTGGGCTAGTGCTCTGGAACAATTATTTCACAAACTGATCATAGGTAGTGACAAGGTATTGGCTTACAGTATCAAATTAGCCATAACTGACTTTAACTGTAACTCTGGTTTCTCCATTCAAAGGGGAGCCCAATAAACACACAGTAAAGTAGGTAATTGAAGCCTGTGAAAGCTGGGAGTGGAGGATGATGTCATGTCTGTGTCCTCTGTGTGTAAACAGCTTAATTTGAAACAGTGTATAGCAGCCAAACCTCACTTCAGTTGGGCCTTCCTTAAATCAAGATATGAGTGCAGTTGTCAAAGTCTCACTCGATAAAAGATAGCACATTTATTGCTGTTATTTTTGTGCTACAAAGTGCAGGCCTACAGTTTTCTTGAAAGAATTTATCCCAGTGTTATTTCAAGTACAATGGTATCATTAACAGGAAATGCGTTTTTCACAGAAAAGGTAGGTTTGTGACGGTTTCCTCATGTCAACATCCTGTCTTCTTCAATGTATTTATTTTTTTATATTTTCTTAATACATACTACTAAATTTGTATTTATCATTAATCTCAAATGCATACATATAAGTACTATATATCATATTAAAGTATCATGTGGTCTTTGTGTTATTGTTCAGAATATTTTACGATGTTAGAAATCGTTGATGGTTGATTTGAGGTGAATGATATTGTTGTTTGATGCCCTGGCCATGTACGGTGAGAGACGGTGCTCGGCATTAAGGCAAAAACAAGGACTGGTCGGCTCAGAGTCGGTATATTGTGTCTGAGTGGGGTATCCTTGTTAAACTGTGGCATGGTATCTCAGTGGGCTACCACTGTGAAACCGACATTAATCTAGACTAGTACATATCACACATGCACACACGCACGCACGCACGCACGCACACACACACACACACACGTCATGCATGCACACACACACACACACATCGCTATATAAGTGCAATAATCATGAACACGCCGTTAAACCCCCTTTCACCTTACCTTGCCCGTGTGGAGACCTGTTTGTTGCAACAATACCAGCGTACTTCTACTATTGTTACCAGGTTCATACTGTAAAGACTTTTGTTGTTGGTACAAACTACATCCCTGTTGAATAGTCTGAACATGGTTGACACATCCTGCTTTTGAAAATACCACATTCAGGGTAAAAAAAGAATATTTTTAGTGTCCCTTCACACAATGGAAAGTTAGGGTGTTGAGAGATAGTTACAAAGGGTGTCAACAGTAAAAGTTATTTCTGAAAAGAAACCTTCATTCTCTACAAATAAAGTTGTCATAATACAATTTCATTGCATGTGATATAAATATCTGTGTAGTGTTTGTTTTAGAGAAAATGACAAAAGTAAATTTTCCGCAAGATTATGATGAATAAATAAGCATTAGGCCTCAAAAGAAATTGCTTCCTTATCATAAATACAATTTTTTTTCATGTGGACTAATCAAGAATAGATTTGACCACACACAGCTGCTACTTTGTCCATCTAATAATGGATAGTCCTCTGCCATTTTTATTCTGTGGGATAGGGGCTGGGACGTTTGTTGGAGAAATATTTTTTCTGTGGCTTCTGCATAACTACTCGCGACTTCCATTCCGGACTATGCTTTTTAAAGTATTTTGAATAAGTCATACAGTCCGTAACAGTTGTTTTGTGTTGAGCTTTAGAGGTTGCATGATTAGAAAACATATTCCGCCAACAATGTAACATAATATGAATATTTCATTTTTATTTTTTTATTAGTAATGAAGTGTTTGTATTGTTATATATCGTGTAGTTGTCCGATTTTCGATCGCGAACGTTGATACTACTTATTTTCGTTTATCCGACATACTCGTTAGTCCGACATAATCATATGCAACCAATAATGTCAGATTAACGGGACCTGACTATTATGTTTATTCATGTTTTATTATGATTATTGAGTTATATACAGAATGAAATTCAAATAGAACTTTAAAATTACATAACATTTAAGGGAACTAATCTAGCCAAGTCCACAAAATACTGATTAACATAATTAATCATTTTTCTGGTATTTTTGTAAGGAACCAACAGATAATATCTTCTTTATTTAACATTTTTTGGTTCTTTTAAAAATGCTATCAATTACAACATATCTTAGCATATTATGTATGTAACATGATCAATTTTTGATCATGATTGGCAAAGAATTGTCAACACAGAAAAGCAATTTTTTAAAGACATGTTACATGATGATATGTACAGATGATATGTTTAAATATTAATCCAAGTGTTTGTAGTAATATTTATCGAAGATATGATAAGGTGTGTAAGATATTTGTTTACAGTATTAAATGTAATAGTACTGCATTTGCTGATATTGATACTGGAAGTACCAGACAGTCCATGAGATACGAGTGTGACATGCGGGCTACACACCTGTTGTGGTAAAGTCCATGTAATTATCATAGCCACTGGTATGTATGTCTGATATGGCACAAAAACTTGTCACTTTCTGGGAAGTTACTGGGAGTTGATAATGTATAGGCCGTTTGTGCGGAAGGTAAGACCTTTTACATTCAACAAATAAATTGACTGAAGTTAAAACATTCATAATTAAGCATAATTGTAGTCCTTAATTGACTTTTTCTTTTTCTTTTCCTAATTCTACAGATATTTTACATATATTGATATTTTATTTGACATAATTTCAAAACTTAATTATTTGTCTTTGTAGTAGAATAACAATGAGTTGTATCAGTATGTAAGGTATGTAACAAGATAAATTGAAATATAAAGCAATTCCTTTTTTTAAGATTAAGTAAATACATTTCATCTCATGAATATTAATAACACTATTCAATCTCACCTCATGCTTATCATATAGTCTATAATATATTCAGTCACTTAGATCGCTCAATACAGAAATGTGTATTGGTTGATGCATGTCATCTTATCCCAATTGCATAGATTGATGCTCATGATATCAATCACTGGATTGGATGTTCCAGACTCAATTGTTTACAGACCACTGTCATATAGCTGGAATACTGCTGAGTGTGGCATTAAACAACAAACAAACAAGTAAATCATTAATACTTGCAGATCAGAAAACACATTTTTTACTTCTGAACCATGTACCCGTGGATAAGCTGACCCCTTTCAATAGAATCTTTTTTCTGGTCCTCAAATTTGGCTTATCTGCGGACATAAATGGTATAATATATAATGTTATATGTTCATACATAGCCTCTAATTATACATCTGCTTATAACAAATTATTATTCACTTCTCCTGAAGCAATTGTAACATAGGTTAGTTTTCATAGTGTGATTATATCCTACTGATTACAGCCGAAACATAAATGTTCAAAATATGTGGGTATTAAAAATAAATAGAAACTTGTTTGTAAGTTTTTTTCAGACAGCCAGTATTGAATCTTGTAATTGTTCAAACTGAATATGTATCCTTTTATTATAAGACCTCTTGAATATCACTTATATAATTCTTTGCCAGAACAACTTTCCAATAGAGCTGGGACGAGTCAAAATTAACTACCCGGGTACCTGACCCCTAATTACCAGACCCTGCCCGGGTACTCACTGTAGGTCTCAAGAGATGGGTACAAAATGTCCGATAGGGAATTGCTTGACCAGAATCCTGGCAAAAAGTATTTAGGTACACTATAAAACGATCTGGTCTTGCATAACTGAAGTTGACTAAAGCTTTATCTTAATTAAAAATATATGTAAGTTACAAGGTATGCGTGAATAGTCTGAAAGAAATGTGAACATTCGTGACCTGTTGTGTATTCATGGAGTTCTAGATAATTTTCGATTTTAAACAATATGTCACGTGACTAACAAAGGGTCCGGGTAGTTCTGTGGGTACCTGGGTGCTACTCAGTACCCCCCTGACCCGAGTATCCAAGTTACCCGTCATAACCCTACTTTCCAACATTTCCTGTCTTTAATTTTGTAACCATGGCGACACTGAATTAATCATGCATTAAGATCACGTTGTGAAAAAAGGCCCTGGCTAAATATAAGAAATCTTTTCATATATGATTAGGAAAAAACAAAAAAACAATTTTAACATAATCATGATAATATGTAAATATTTTCAGTTGTATCATGAAGTTTTCTTATTTTACTGATAATTTTCCCCATGAAATACACTGTCTCTTACTATTGTTGTACTTCCCTGTGTGTGTCTAGTGTTTGGATATCTTTAGTTTGTTGTCCAAAATGAACACACAGATTTTGTGGCAGTTCACCCTTTCTTTAAACAGATTGTGGATCAAATTCCAGTTCCTTGTTGGTTTTTCAAACAATGGGCATGACACCAAGGGAAGGTGTCAAAAGGCAGGATGTCATTTTAAAAATAAAGTACCTATTAAATAGCCTTTGTAAAGTTGATGCTTAACTGTTTTGACAGTGTGACATTGAACGGTAAACCGTTTCATTACAAGTTTAGTGGTGTGATGATTGCCAATTACCTGCTGAAGACTTTTTGATAAATGAAAATGCAATTTTGATATTGCCCCCTGGTTTGTGAGCAAATAGTCTCGTCATGTGAAATGTGAAACAATGCAGATAAGTCACCTTTGCAACTTACAAATGTGGGTTTTGGGTATTCAGAATGTGACATAACATAAGGATAAGTTATAAAGACAGTTTAGTAGTTTGCCCGCCTTTTCTACAAGTTCACGCAGGTTTATTTCACTCTGCAAATGATTTATACACTTGTCATGTGCTTCAGCCAGTATCGTGATGTATTGAAAGATTTATTTTAAGCTTGACGAAAAAATATTTGTTTATCATGTTTAGTACCAAGTTATGATGTAGTTTTACAGCCTGCTTTAAGATTAAGTATATTCCTATTTGTTGTGTTGTTAAGAATTGACTTCATCATTTTGTGTATTTATGGATGTGTAAATGTAAAAATTGTTGTGCAATCCTCATAGAACAGTACCTTGTCTCTTTGTTTACAGCAGATTCAGGGTCACTGGTGGCCCAGTCGCTTAAGGCGCCGCGATACCTGTGATTGTGGGTTCGAATCCCGATTCGCTCATATTAAGTTTCTAGGTTTTAGCACCATAACCGTGCTAGTGGGTTTCACCGAAATGGTAAACGTCTGAGACCTGCATCACTTCGGGCTTTCCTCCCCCATTAAGCTGACTCATTCACTCACTCACAGCAGATTCAAGCAATATATGTGCACCTTGATTTTTACCCCTTTTTTTCCATAAACGTAAAAACATTTTGAAGTCAATTCTTATGAATTAATATGTCAGCAATAAAACTTCAGTCTGCTTTTTCATTCATAACACGCACAAAAATGAGTGAGTATGATTTTACACTACTTTTAGCAATATTCCAGCAATATCATGGCAGGGGACACTAGAAATGAGCTTCACACGTAATCATGTTGGCATTTGAACCAGGGCCTTAGGCGAGAAGAGCAACGCTTGAACCACCAGGTTACCCCACTGCCCCCACAGGAACCTGAAGACAACAATGTGAAATCAGTGGCTTCCTTTAGCGCAATAAAGCAACAAAAGCCCCACCAATTCTATTATCAGCCAATCAGGAAACAGTAGTCCTTCCATAGTTTCATATTGGGTGTATGGAGGCATAAACGCAAAAATAATTGCTTTGTTAACCAATCAAATACACTGAACTGTGAAAATGTTTGAATTTATCTCATGATCTTTGCAGGTGAAGGAACTTATTCTTAATGAGAATGAAAGGGAGCAGATCTTTCAATCTCTTCGGACTTATCAATCGTAAGTACACAATATATATCTGGCATCATATGAATCGGCATTAAGTTTGTTGTTTAAAGCCACCCTCAGCAATATTCCAGCTATATGACGGCGGTCTGTAAAGAATCGAGTCTGGACCAGACAGTCCAGTGATTGACATCATGAGCATCGATTCACGCAATTGGGATACAATGACATGCATCAACCAAGTCAGCGAGCCTGACCACCCAATCCCGTTAGTCGCCTCTTACGACAAGCATCGTCGCCTTTTATGACAGACATGGGTTGCTGAAGACTTATTCTACCCTGCATCTGAATCAGCATAAAGAAACTGGCATTGCTGATACATGTGTTTTTGTGTGTTTATAAAATATAATGAGGGCACATGTTAGAATGCAGGGTACTGTGAAGAGTTGTGTCCTTTTGTTGCCAGGATCTGATAATCATGGAATTCCAGATTCAGAACATCATCAAGGCTGGAACAGAAATTGGTATTTTTTCCTAATAATGTGTTTCATCAACAGAATGATTTTGTTTTTGTTATCAATTTGATGACCATAAGTTGGAACACTAGCATGGCTCTAAATTGTGCTCATGATTCTCAACCCGTGGAAATCTGGCGTAGAATAGGTCTTGTCTTAAGAGGTGACTATGTTTGTCGTTTGAGGTGACTAAAAGGGTCGGGTGGTCAGATTTGCTGACTTGGTTGATGTGTATCAATGCTCATGATGTCAGTCAATGGATTGTCTGGTCCAGACTCGATTTTATGTATAGCATGATTATACTGCATGGATTCTGTTCAAATTAAGGGAACAGTTTCCATTCTAATAGATGAGGTAAAGTGCAAAGTTTGATTTTGTTATGTGTATTTTCGGAAAAGAGATAATGTTTTTCATGTTGTGAACTTTGAATATTTTTGTTTACTTCAACTTTTGTGCGACCTATTGCTTGAAAACAACTTTATGGATTCTTTTCCAATTAGGGATACAGTTTCTATGCCAGTAGGAGGGGTGCAATGCAAAGTTTGTTTTCAATATTTGGGTTTTCTGAAAACATACAGCTATTTTAAAAATGTTTGCTTAGAATTTTTGTTCCAAAATATTTGTGCGACCTATAACTAGAAAACTACTGCATGGATTCTTTTCCAATTTAGGGAACACTTACCATACTAACATAAGAGGTGCATTGCCTATTTTAATTTGATATGTATTTTTTCTGAAGTTTTTCCCGTTTTTTTTAAATATGTTTGTGTCAGAGTCATGGGTATTAGTGAGCCCAACTCACTTTTTGTCTTGTTGTTTTAATGGTAATGCACCAAGAATATTATCTTCTATTACCACCTGATAACTGTTTGATATTTGATTTAATTTGTCATAAACCACCACTATACAAACACACTGATAGGTCGACCATGATAGACAATGAGATCCCATCCTTGTACGTTGCATACCTGAAGTAGATAACACTAATCTCGTTGGGAGCCTTGTCTTGAACACGTGAATGCACAAACAATTTATCAATATGTTGCAATACATTGTGGTAACCACACAAACAGCGCTTACCATATTTAACATATTTTATGTTCTGTTGTATTTGAACCAGAAACACAGCGATATTGTTCCCAGACTGCAGGGCAGAATAGGTCCTTAGTACCCCATACTAGTCTCTCGGTGGGGATTCCGATTCTGGGGCAGAATAGGTCCTTAGTACCCCACACTAGTCTCTCGGTGGGGATTCCGATTCTGGGGCAGAATAGGTCCTTAGTACCCCACACTAGTCTCTCAGTGGGGACTCCGATTCTGGGGCAGAATAGGTCCTTAGTACCCCACACTAGTCTCTCGGTGGGGATTCCGATTCTGGGGCAGAATAGGTCCTTAGTACCCCACACTAGTCTCTCAGTGGGGATTCCGATTCTGAGGTAGAATAGGTCCTTAGTACCCCACACTAGTCTCCCCTTGGGGATTCCGATTCTGGGGTAGAATAGGTCCTTAGTACCCCACACTACTCTCCCCTTGGGGATTCCGATTCAGGGGCAGAATAGGTCCTTAGTATCCCACACTAGTCTCTCAGTGGGGACTCCGATTCTGGGGCAGAATAGGTCCTCAGTACCCCACACTAGTCTCTCGGTGGGGATTCCGATTCTGGGGTAGAATAGGTCCTCAGTACCCCACACTAGTCTCTTGGTGGGGATTCCGATTCTGGGGTAGAATAGGTCCTCAGTACCCCACACTAGTCTCTTGGTGGGGATTCCGATTCTGGGGTAGAATAGGTCCTCAGTACCCCACACTAGTCTCTTGGTGGGGATTCCGATTCTGGGGCAGAATAGGTCCTCAGTACCCCACACTAGTCTCTCGGTGGGGATTCCGATTCTGGGGTAGAATAGGTCCTCAGTACCCCACACTAGTCTCTCGGTGGGGATTCCGATTCTGGGGTAGAATAGGTCCTCAGTACCCCACACTAGTCTCTCGGTGGGGATTCCGATTCTGGGGTAGAATAGGTCCTCAGTACCCCACACTAGTCTCTCAGTGGGGATTCCGATTCTGGGGCAGAATAGGTCCTTAGTACCCCACACTAGTCTCTCAGTGGGGATTCCGATTCTGGGGCAGAATAGGTCCTTAGTACCCCACACTAGTCTCTCAGTGGGGACTCCGATTCTGGGGTAGAATAGGTCCTCAGTACCCCACACTAGTCTCTCAGTGGGGATTCCGATTCTGGGGCAGAATAGGTCCTTAGTACCCCACACTAGTCTCTTGGTGGGGATTCCGATTCTGGGGCAGAATAGGTCCTCAGTACCCCACACTAGTCTCTCGGTGGGGATTCCGATTCTGGGGTAGAATAGGTCCTCAGTACCCCACACTAGTCTCTTGGTGGGGATTCCGATTCTGGGGTAGAATAGGTCCTCAGTACCCCACACTAGTCTCTTGGTGGGGATTCCGATTCTGGGGTAGAATAGGTCCTCAGTACCCCACACTAGTCTCTCAGTGGGGATTCCGATTCTGGGGCAGAATAGGTCCTTAGTACCCCACACTAGTCTCTCAGTGGGGATTCCGATTCTGGGGTAGAATAGGTCCTCAGTACCCCACACTAGTCTCTCAGTGGGGATTCCGATTCTGGGGCAGAATAGGTCCTCAGTACCCCACACTAGTCTCTCAGTGGGGATTCCGATTCTGGGGCAGAATAGGTCCTTAGTACCCCACACTAGTCGCTCAGTGGGGATTCCGATTCTGGGGCAGAATAGGTCCTTAGTACCCCACACTAGTCTCTCAGTGGGGATTCCGATTCTGGGGCAGAATAGGTCCTTAGTACCCCACACTAGTCTCTCAGTGGGGATTCCGATTCTGGGGCAGAATAGGTCCTTAGTACCCCACACTAGTCTCTCAGTGGGGATTCCGATTCTGGGGCAGAATAGGTCCTTAGTACCCCACACTAGTCTCTCAGTGGGGACTCCGATTCTGGGGTAGAATAGGTCCTCAGTACCCCACACTAGTCTCTCAGTGGGGATTCCGATTCTGGGGCAGAATAGGTCCTTAGTACCCCACACTAGTCTCTCAGTGGGGATTCTGATTCTGGGGAAGAATAGGTCCTTAGTACCCCACACTAGTCTCTTGGTGGGGATTCTGATTCCGGGGAAGAATAGGTCCTTAGTACCCCACACTAGTCTCTTGGTGGGGATTCTGATTCCGGGGAAGAATAGGTCCTCAGTACCCCACACTAGTCTCTCGGTGGGGACTCCAATTCAGGGGAAGAATAGGTCCACAGTATCCCATTTTTGTTTAAGGAAAGACTAATGAGGATTAAATGGTCACAATGTGTGACCTGGTTGAATGTGTATCATGTCTAAAGTGTATGGATCTTTGCATATGTTGTCAGATAGTCATTTGCCTGGCTCTGCTTATATACTGACTGACGTGATATTCTGGAATATTTATGACAGTGGCATAAAATACCATTGCTGAATTTTCTTAAGTACTGGTAAACACTCTTTGCTTGAGACATATTGCAGATATAAAAGATCCGTGAAAGGGAGATTATTCTAATTCTGCATTTCATTAATAGCCGGGCGGTCGGGTAGCCTAGTGGTTAAGCGTTCACTCCTCTTGCCGAAGACCCGGGTTCGATCCCGACATGGGTACAATGTGTAAAGCCCATTTCTGGTGTCCCCTGTCGTGATATTGCTGGAATATTGCTAAAAGCAGCATAAAACCATACTCACTCACTCATTGATAGCCACTATAATCACAATAATCATTAGGCCTGAAAATCTATCTATAGTAAACTGTCTGTAATAAGCGGGGAGGGGGGTCCTTCAGATTTGCTTGTACAATATTTGAATCTATGCCCCCCCAATTTTGATATTATAAATTTTAGGGTTTATCCAGGTTTATGATAAGGACTGCTATTCTGTCATGTCAATTTAGAACAAAGGTTAACATAGGCAAGGTTGTGAATATAATTTATGGATTGGTGTTGTAATTTCTCATAGTATTGCTCCCACTGTATATGTCGTTTGTTATGTAGACTACGGTATTTTGGCACGCAAGGACATGTGGTTTACAATGAGTTCTTATCAAGTTACTAGGCTTATTTAAATTTCGTTAGTAATCTCTGTAGATTGTTGGAGCTGAGCGCAGCTGATAACCCATAATGCAGCTGGGTCACTGTCATGGCAGCCTGAAGCTGAATCTGGGGTAACAACTGTGACTTTTTGCAGCAACCTTCTAAAGTACTGCAGCCAAAGTGCAATCTGTTAAGGAATACCAAACACTTTCACTTGACGATTAAATAATATTTTTGAAAAAGCAGGGTTTTACTGGATGCAAATATCCGGATCCAGTTTGTCTACATATTGTATATGGATGCAAAAAATACATTGCAAATCCTGTGGAAGCGGAAAAGTATGACTGTTTGAACTGTTGAATATATCAGAACGTTGTTGATTGTATGAAACATATGACTAATACTTCTATTCTGGTAAGGTTATTCTAGAAACTTTTCATCCATTTACTTTACTCTGCCCTCAACAACTGCAGCTATTACAGCTATTTACAAGATAGCCTCTTCTCTCAAGTGAGACATCCCCGTAGTATGGGTTTTCAGACGATAAAGAAACATACATAGTTTTCAAGCTAGTCACAAGAACAACCGTAAAACATCTCACTCACTTATAAAAAATAACTTTATCTGAAAATCAAGCCATCACCTGAGTTTTGTGCCACAAACAACATTAAATGTAGTACATGAAAAGAACTTTAATTGCATACAAATGATAAGCATAATATGGGTCCCGCCTCGGTTGCCTATGCGAGGTGACCCGGGTTGACACCCTTGGGTCTTGGTGACCCGGGTATGATGAATGAATGTCCTGGGGTCTCAGGGACCCAGACTAGTGTATAGTGTTGGGAGGGATATGCCGGTCCTGGGGTCCGTTGACCCCAACGATCCCTAGGGATAAGCAGGTCCCGGGTCGTGCTGACCGGACAGTACCTCGCGTAATGCTCTTTGGGGGCCACAATCCTTCCATGCTCTGAGTATGGAGTAGCTGGTGAACATCCAAGAGCCCCCAAAGAAGTACAGAATATAAGTGAATAGGAATATAAGATGAATATAAGTACTCGTGAATAATAAACAACTGTTGAACATATAATACGTACTGAAAATATATGTGCCTTAAGGGCGAGCCCAGGCAGTCACTCAGTGCCCCAGCGAGTTACGCGCAAGTTACAGGCGACACACAGCCTTGTGGACTTGCACAAAGGTGGCTTCAGACATTCTGATGTACTAAGCATAACAGTCCTAAGTCCACCTGCCCATAGTCTTAATGAGGTGAACCTCACTGTTAACTGTGGCTGCCATTGTAGCCACCCCAATTCGGAAGAAATGCCCCGGGTAGTCCGCGGAGTTGAAGCCAGCTAGTGTGAGGACCCTACCTAACCATGAGTACACCGTCTTGGATATGGGTAGATATTCCCGACTGACAAACAGCGGATGCTGGTTTGCAGCATTCTTATGGAAAACAGTCTGGACAAGGCCGAGGAGGGACATGTCATGGTGTCAGTATCGAATAAAGCAATACGAACCCCTTGCCGAAAGGGATCAGTCTTTGACGCTTTAAGGTTATAGTACATTTTTTCTTAATGTCACTCATGGTGCTGTTCATATTGGGATCAAAGTTTGCCGAGCATGTGACATCTCCACATCTAAGGAATCCAAAGAACGCTGTGAGGCACATAATTCCATCAGCAAGTCATTGAATAACCCAACACATCAGCGCTGAGCTGCTTGACAATGGTAATTAACACGTGGTAAGTCACGGAAGTCTCTTCCTCAGCTCTGGTGTTTGGGCACGTTTGTAGCCTCTTAGAAGGGTTTGGATCCTATTCAATGCACCTTTTAAGATGTCATCAAAAACCGTCCTGATGCTGGCTTGCAGATCTGTCAATCGGATATCTGCCTGGCAGCTGTTTTGGACACTGGTCCTCAATGATTAGTCATGGGCTAGCGTGAATTTCGAAGGTTGCAAATTGACATTGATTTCACCATCTCCAATAGGTCTGTGTGAATGACATCCATCAGTAAAATCAGTAGTCCCCTCAATTAAAAAATAGACTAAATCCCTGAGTTTGCTGCTTTGTAAAATTTGTGGTATTTATTTTTCATACATTAATATCAGCACTGATTAGCATTACATGGTGACCAAGTTGAAGAAATGGGCTGATTGTAGCTTTTTACATCAGTGATGAACATGTATTCATGAGCTCAAAACTCACTGAACTCTACTTTTGGCACCAGACCGCCTCCATGGTCTAGTGGTAGAGCGTCCGCCCGGAGAGCGGAAGGTCCGGGGTTCGACCCCAAGCCACGTCATACCAAAAGACGTTAAAATATGGTACTTGTTGTTACCCTGTCTGGCGCTCGGCATTAAGGGGCTAAAACAAGGAATAGTTGGCTCGGAGTTAGTATACTGTGTCTTGATTGGGGTATTCATGTTAAACTGTAGCATGGTATCTCAGTGTGCTAGCACTATAAATCAGCATCAGTCCGGACTAGTACAAGCAGCCACACACACACATACACGTACATGCACGTCACTATATAAGTGCAATAATCTTGGACGCGACGTTAAACCCTATATCACCTCACCTTTTGGCACCAACTGTTTAAGCACTGTGAGTTTATATATCTGCCACTGTGCCCACTGTTGGGAACCTGGGTTAGAGTAGGTTCCCAGCAACCTAGACTTGTTATGAGAGGCAACTACAGGGTTGGGAGTCAGTCTTGGTGACTTGGCTTGGGACTTTGCTTATAATGTCAATCAGTGATCACTGATTTGTCTGGCCCTGAATATTGATTATTTGCCATCATGTTGTTGGGATATGGCTGAGTGTGGCATTTGATACATGGTTTGTATGCTGTGTCAATGCTGTCCACAGATTTCAATCCCACGGTGCATGGGTGGCCCAGTAGGCCAAGGCCAAGCTAAGCAGGCTCTGCTGATCATCGATTCAAATCTCGGATTTGCCCTAAAAATGTTCCTCAGTTTGTCCGCACCAAACACTTGCTTGTGGTGTTTACCAAAGTGATAGATGCCTATAACCTCAACCACTTATCATCCACACTGACATGATGTGTAACCGAAGCTCTGTTCAAAGCAGCTTTGAACCCAACTCACTCACTCCACTGGTTAAAACAAGACAATATTTTTAACAACACATGTAAGGAACAAGCCCCTTGGATGACTGGGATTTATGTTTTTCGTGACTGTAAGGTGGTTTCTAGCAAATTCAAGGTGGCATTAAACGTAAGTCACTCACTTGCTGTTTCTTCCACTCCTACAGGTCCCAGGAGCTGCATGATCTGCTGACGGAGCTGAGGAGGCTGCTGAATGAACCATCCAAACTGGAGCTGTATGAACACATCAGGTAGTTGTCTTCCTTGGCCAAAAGATGATTGGTAGTCATGCATTGAGTGAATAAGTATGGATTTACGCCGCTTTTAGCAATATTCAAGCAATATCACGGCGGGGGACACAAGAAATGGGCTTCACACATTGTACACATGTGGGCAATCGAACCATGGGTCTTTGGCGTGACAAGCTACCCTGTAGTCCTGCAGATAAAGGACACATCATATGTATGTAATTGTGGCTGTTTCCTGAATGATCAACTCTACCGTGGTCATGTATACAACAAGGGCAGATAACTCTCATAATTCTAGTACAAAATCATTCTGGAAAGCTCTACTGACTCCTACTGCCTCTACGGTCTAGTGCCTCTCTGCGTGGAGAGTGGAAGGAATGGTGGTTCGATCCCAAAAGATGCTGAAAGATGGTACTTCTTGTACCCTGCATGGCGCTCGACATTAAGGGGATAAAACAAGAACTGGTGGGCGAAATCAGTGTACTGTTTCTGAGTGGTGTAACCATGTTAAACCTCACCATGGTAGCCTAGTGGGTACGCTAACACTGAGACTTTGAAAACATTTCTTTATTTCTTCATTTCTTTAATTTATTTTTTAGAAAAGAACATTCCTGTCTCTGCTGTGTTCATGTGGAATCAATGAAACTAGACTTGGTTTAGTTTGATCTATAATTGCCTTGGGTTTTAATAAAAACAAAAATTATAAAATGTAAATTTGAAAGTCATGGAGCAGGATGACTTTGTGGGCTATGCACGTTGCAATATTAGTGCAAGTTTCTTGAAAGCAACGTTAAACCCCATTTCACCTCATCGACTCATTGCTGTCAACTGCAATTCAAATGCCATGACAGCACTGAATATTTTTTACCAGTTGTTCAATATTTTTCTGCTTCTGACAATTTACGACAAATGCATTTACAATAGTTTCTACTGCCACATGACATTATTCTTAAGGAAACTTATGTGCTTAGGAGTGTTTTAACATGACATCCCCTGTGGAGATGTGAGGTCCAAATACCTCCCCAGTGCACCATGCTTGTTATAGGAGTCTACTAAATAGGGGTTCTGGGCTGAGACACTTTGACTGATTGCATGTCATTTTACTTCGATGGCATGGATCGTTGCTCATGCTTTCATTCACTGGTTTGTCTGATCCAGGCTCCATTGTCAGCATGATGTAGCTGGAATATTGTAGACTGAGGTGCACTTAAGGTGATATGTTTTGAGACATTCCCAAGTCTCAGCAAGTGGGACTTGTTCTAACTCTCTGACAACTGTACAATTAGCATACAGTATTTACCCTGTGAAGAGCCAAGGCCTGTTACCGTCAGTTTACTTTTTAGACCATGGCCCCATTCCACCAAGCAGTCTTCAGAAGGCTATATTTAAGTATGGTAGAACTGTGGAACTCAGGTCCCAGGACCTGATTAGAGACCAGGCTGCCGTTGTACAAAACAACCTTAGCCCTAAGACTGTTGTAAGTCTATGTTAATGCATGGGAGTTACGATCACCTTAGCGCTAATATCGCTTTGTATGACGCCCTGCCTCATTCCACAAAGTAATGTTAGCGCTATGACAATTGTAAGCATATGTTAAAGTATGGAAGTTACAACCATCTTAGTGCTAAGATCGCTCTATAGAACAGGGCCCAGGACCTTATTAGGGTCCAGCTCTTATATATTATAGTCACCATCTTAATTACTTTCGTAGATATGATGAGAAGGGATAATCTAATTTATGACATGGTATAGTATTCAAATGTTAAAGGTAGAAATCCTCAGTTGTAGCTAGCTCTGCCTTCATGTGATAACCTGGTCTATTACAAAGTCTTGCCCCTTGACCCAACTTTACTCAGGGTGGCTCTTAATAGATAAAAAAAGGTAACAATTTCTTGTGATGGTCAGTTTACTGTTACATTATGTAAATTTGATGCAGGTCTCAGTTCATCAAGTTTTGCTGTACTGTAAACTGATGGACTGTTGTAAGAGTCTAGTAATGAGACACTCCCTGATGCAGGTCTCAGTTCATCAAGTTTTGCTGTCCTGTAAACTGATGGACTGTTGTAAGAGTCTAGTAATGAGTCTCTCCCTGATGCAGGCCTCAGTTCATCAAGTTTTGCTGTCCTGTAAACTGATGGACTGTTGTAAGAGTCTAGTAATGAGTCTCTCCCTGATGCAGGTCTTAGTTCATCAAGTTTTGCTGTCCTGTAAACTGATGGACAGTTGTAAGAGTCTAGTAATGAGACTCTCCCTGATGCAGGTCTCAGTTCATCAAGTTTTGCTGTCCTGTAAACTGATGGACTGTTGTAAGAGTCTAGTAATGAGTCTCTCCCTGATGCAGGTCTTAGTTCATCAAGTTTTGCTGTCCTGTAAACTGATGGACAGTTGTAAGAGTCTAGTAATGAGACTCTCCCTGATGCAGGTCTCAGTTCATCAAGTTTTGCTGTCCTGTAAACTGATGGACTGTTGTAAGAGTCTAGTAATGAGACTCTCCCTGATGCAGGTCTCAGTTCATCAAGTTTTGCTGTCCTGTAAACTGATGGACTGTTGTAAGAGTCTAGTAATGAGTCTCTCCCTGATGCAGGTCTCAGTTCATCAAGTTTTGCTGTCCTGTAAACTGATGGACTGTTGTAAGAGTCTAGTAATGAGTCTCTCCCTGATGCAGGCCTCAGTTCATCAAGTTTTGCTGTACTGTAAACTGATGGACTGTTGTAAGAATCTAGTACGGAGTCTCTCCCTGATGCAGGTCTCAGTTCATCAAGTTTTGCTGTCCTGTAAACTGATGGACTGTTGTAAGAATCTAGTAATGAGTCTCTCCCTGATGCAGGTCTCAGTTCATCAAGTTTTGCTGTACTGTAAACTGATGGACTGTTGTAAGAGTCTAGTAATGAGTCTCTCCCTGATGCAGGCCTCAGTTCATCAAGTTTTGCTGTACTGTAAACTGATGGACTGTTGTAAGAATCTAGTACGGAGACTCTCCCTGATGCAGGTCTCAGTTCATCAAGTTTTGCTGTCCTGTAAACTGATGGACTGTTGTAAGAATCTAGTACGGAGTCTCTCCCTGATGCAGGTCTCAGTTCATCAAGTTTTGCTGTCCTGTAAACTGATGGACAGTTGTAAGAATCTAGTAATGAGTCTCTCCCTGATGCAGGTCTCAGTTCATCAAGTTTTGCTGTACTGTAAACTGATGGACTGTTGTAAGAGTCTAGTAATGAGTCTCTCCCTGATGCAGGCCTCAGTTCATCAAGTTTTGCTGTACTGTAAACTGATGGACTGTTGTAAGAATCTAGTATGGAGTCTCTCCCTGATGCAGGTCTCAGTTCATCAAGTTTTGCTGTCCTGTAAACTGATGGACTGTTGTAAGAATCTAGTACGGAGACTCTCCCTGATACAGGTCTCAGTTCATCAAGTTTTGCTGTACTGTAAACTGATGGACTGTTGTAAGAGTCTAGTAATGAGTCTCTCCCTCAGGCCCCTCGTGATGCCCAAGCACCAGCTGGAGTACAGCCAGAAAACCCCTCAGACTCCGGGCATCAAGCTCAGAGTCATCCGACTCAAACGCCAGGCCGGAGAAAGTCTGGGGTTTGCGGTCAGGGGAGGTAAGTCACTCTAAGACTCTTTAACTTTTAACTATTTATGTATGTCAAAGTGAAGCCATTCTCCTAAGATCATGACAGTTATCATGGTTATTTGTTATCCCCCGCGACTCCACAGATCTTGAAAAACGTGCGATATTCCCTTGCCAGACTTGTCATTTAGATAGATCTAGCAGTGAAAATGGTGCCTGATGATAGTTTCTGTCTTTTGAACAATTTATTTTTCGAGTTTCCAAAGCAACAAAATATTTATAGAACTAGTTGAAGTATTTGCCATTGCAGGGGATGTTGATGACTTTGACTTCTTGTACGTTTCCTGTCACCCTTGAGTTGACAAAAGTTTTCAACATGTTAAATTTCCATATCAGCTTGTGTTGGCACAGCAGAATTTGTTGTTTACACACTCCTGCCAAGTTTTCTGTTTGAAAAAGTGCATCCTCAATAATCCTGCTTATCATATCTCCATTCTATTATGATGTGCACCCTGGACCCATTGCGGAAGGAACGTTAGCATGTCCAGTTGTATTTGAACGTCTCTCCCAAACACGGCAAGTCAAGGTACAGGTCTAGAAATTGGATGGGATGACTATTGTTAGTGTCAAGTCAACTGACACAAAATCAAACCAAAAATATAATAGTGAATGGGTCCAGATATATTTCATAACAGAATGGAGATATGATAAGCAGGATTATTGAGGATGACTTTCATGAAGAATTCATGTCTCTCAGACTTGGATGTTTAGCATTATTTAGTGGGACATGTGGTTAAAGTGTTATGGTTAAAGTGTTAGCTTGTGGCATGATTCCTAAGATGTATCAAGCTATTTCCTCTACCATAATATGCCTGTAACAGAAGCCTTCTTCACTTGATCACTCGTATGTATTTTGGTTTCATGGCTGTATTTTGTTTTCAGGATTTGAGCATGGTATAGGAGTGTTTGTGTCTCACGTGGATGCTACGTCACAGGCCAGCAAGCGAGGGCTCAAGGTAGGTCCAACCCAGTGTCGAGCTCACGACCATCAAAGGTGTTTGAACTGTCGTATTAAGATCACCAGTGAAGATCCAGGGTAGAATAGGTCTTCAGCAACTCATGCTTGTCGTAAAAGGCAACTATGCTTGTCGTAAGCGGAGACACACGCCATCGTACCTCAATTGCGTGGATCGATGCTCATGATGTCAATCACTGGATTGTCTGCTCCGGACTTGATTATTTACAGACCGCTGTCATATAGCTGGAATAGTGCTGAGTGCCGCGTTAAGCAACAAAACCAACCAACCATATATTGAGATCCCTTTCACAATATATTTTAATTTAATCTATCACCAAACAAAGTGATTCAGGCGAGAGACTAAAAGTCAATTTGTCAAAAATAGGATAGTAATTATGTCAGACAGATCCTGAAATTGCCTTTTGCTATTTACTGATTTGGGGCATTTTTCTTTTTCTTGATTTTCAATCATATCCATGGCAACAACTTTTTAAGATATGTTTGTCTTGACCACATCTCTAAAACTAAAAGTTACTTTTTCTTGAAACTGTGCACACACAAAGACCAGGTTGTCAACTGGTGCCTTTTGCTATTTAGGGACTTTTAGAATATATTTTTTCCATTTCCATGGCAGGACTTTGACTCTGTTCATATTGGTGTGTACCTGACATAGAAATACAATGTTACGAATCCCAATTCCATGATATTGTTTTGATAGCTCAGTAACTACTCTTGTATACGGACTGACAAATTAGATAGAAATTCTCTCATCAAGTTGGACTTAAAGTAACAGTCAAATGATTTGTTGTTTCAAATTTGTAGGGGCTGGGGTGATTTTTCATCTTCTGATAACTCTTTTTTCATGATGTCACAGCATTGTATGACATCATCATTTAATTGTTGCTGCATGTTAGAAATTGAGGGAAATGTGCAAATGCATGTTTTTAACTGTTTAGCACATATTTGAACTTTTTATCTATATACGGTTAAAATATTTAAAAAAGTTATTTACTATTTATTATACTTTTATGCGAAGGATGTTGAGGGATTTCACTATAGACCGCTATTGTAAAAAGTAATAAATAATTTGGCGCAGTACTTAATAAATGCGCCTAGTGCAATAGAATACACATGAACTCCTTCTTTTTCAATTGGAAAGTCACCATTGAATGCAGCGTTAAAATATGGACTTTAAAATCATGCTATTTTCCCATTGGGCCTGCATAGTTACAATTCCTAGATAAATCTCTGCATCATCATCAGACACCAACCATTTCATATTCACCTGGGGTTTTATTTTTCAATTAATATTCCTCTCCCCCTCCCCCAAATAATTTTGGGGTGCCTGAAAAATCTTTTACTCATTAAAAGTTGTTTGTCCTTCACATGATTGAAGTATAGCATTATGTAAGTAAACAACTGCAGTCACCCAACAAATAGATCATATGCTTAGGTTCCAGGACCTTTGAAAAAATATTAAAAAATATTGCGATTTGGGGTCTTTTTCACCATTTGTTGACGAGTAAGTATTCCATGCCTACCAGCCTGGTATGTTGGAAAGTACATGATGATTTGTGTGGTATTTTAGGTTGGAGATGAGATTGTTCGGGTCAATGGGTACACCATCGCTGAAGCCATACATGAGGATGTCCTCAACCTCATCAAGTCCCACGAGGAAATTGTCCTCAAAGTGACACGTAAGTCCACAATCATGATGTCCATGTGATGCTCAATGGTTCAGAGATTTTTAATGTGTAAGTCAGCACCGTGCAATATTCCTGGTACATGGTGGTGGCATGTAGACAATTGTGTGTTGGCTAAACAAATCAGTGATTGATATGAGCTATGTCCCACTTTGTCGAGGTATGTTTCCCTGCCTAGCTTTTGGCAGTAAGGGGACAAAACAAGGACAGGCTCAGAGTCAGTGCAATGTGTCTGAGTGGGGTATCTATGTTATTCTGCAGCATGGTATCTAAGTGGGCTAACACTATAAAACTGGCTTTTGTCTGGACTAGTACAAGCATCCGCACACGCATGCATGCACATCGCTAAGTAAGGCAAATAATCGTTTGAGGCACCCTATTTGGGGTTGTATAGAGAATTAGAATACTACAATATGTCAAAAACAGCTGATCATTATGTCAAGATTAGGTAGTGTTGTGATCATTTTTAAAATCAATGATGTATGATGTATACAATGACTTGGTTGATGCATGTCATTGTATCTTAATTACGTGGATCGATGCTCATGAGGTCCAGACTCGATTATTTGCAGACCGCCGCCATATAGCTGGAATATTGCTGAGTGCGGCGTTAAACAACAAACAAAATAATCTTTCAGTATCCTTCAATAAACAATAAATAAGATGTAATGTAATGACAATTGATTATTCATTACACAATTATGAATGATAGATTTTCAATTGTATATTTAATACCAGGTATATTCATTTGTTTGCAGATATTGGAATGCTTCCAGTTAAGAAGTATGTAGCCCTCTGACTTGTAATGCCCTTTTGTTTATCAATGTAGAATTAATAATAGGTGTTGATGGTATGTGGTTGCATCAACAACCCCAGTAATTGTGTTCCAACTTGTGTTTTCCGTATTCCTGAAGATCAAATACAATTCTTACCATCAACATTTATTGGACATTATCAGATGTACCTCTCATGTCATCAAAATACAATGAAAATGAAAATACAATGTCAAGAATGAATTTGGTTGTATCAGCATGTGAGTTCTTTTTAATTCTTCACATGAAGTAATTAATAAATAATAGTATGAAATTCAGTGTGAAATTCAGTGATATTTGATGAAATGATTGTATGGAAGTATAGCAGCTCAACATCTTGTTTCAGTAACCCGAAGGAATCGGTCTGTTGGAACTATGTAGAAACTCTGGACTCCTCCAAGGCCTTGGTGAGTTACAACTGAATACAAGCCTCAGAGGTTCCAGGACCCCCAGTACCCCATGCCTGTCTCCTTGTGGGGATTCCATTGCCCCAGTACCCCATGCCTGTCTCCTTGTGGGGATTCCATGGCCCCAGTACCCCATGACTGTCTCCTTGTCAGGATTCCATGGCCCCAGTACCCTATGCTTGTCTCCTTGTGGGGATTCCATGGCCCCCAGTACCCCATGCTTGTCTCCTTGTAGGGATTCCATGGCCCCAGTACCCCATGCTTGTCTCCTTGTAGGGATTCCATGGCCCCCAGTACCCCATGCTTGTCTCCTTGTGGGGATTCCATGGCCCCAGTACCCCATGCTTGTCTCCTTGTGGGGATTCCATGGCCCCAATACCCCCATGTGTCTCTCCTTGTGGGGATTCCATGGCCCCAGTACCCCATGCTTTGTCTCCTTGTTGGGATTCCATGGCCCCAGTACCCCATGCCTGTCTCCTTGTAGGGATTCCATGGCCCCAGTACCCCATGCTTGTCTCCTTGTCGGGATTCCATGGCCACAGTACCCCATGCTTGTCTCCTTGTGGGGATTCCATGGCCCCAATACCCCAATGTGTCTCTCCTTTTGGGGATTCCATGACCCCAGTACCCCATGCTTGTCTCCTTGTAGGGATTCCATGGCCCCAGTACCCCATGCCTGTCTCCTTGTGGGGATTCCATGACCCCAGTACCCCATGCTTGTCTCCTTGTAGGGATTCCATGGCCCCAGTACCCCATGCCTGTCTCCTTGTGGGGATTCCATGGCCCCAATACCCCCATGTGTCTCTCCTTGTGGGGATTCCATGGCCCCAGTACCCCATGCTTGTCTCCTTGTAGGGATTCCATGGCCCCAGTACCCCATGCTTGTCTCCTTGTGGGGATTCCATGGCCCCAGTACCCCATGCTTGTCTCCTTGTGGGGATTCAAGGGTCCCCAATACCCCCATGTGTCTCTCCTTTTGGAGATTCCATGGTCTTAGTACCCCATGCTTGTCTCCTTGTGGGGATTCAAGGGTCCCCAATACCCCCACGTGTCTCTCCTTGTGGGGATTCCATGGCCCCAGTACCCTATGCTTGTCTCCTTGTAGGGATTCCATGGCCCCAGTACCACATGCATGTCTCCTTGTAGGGATTCCATGGCCCCAGTACCCCATGCTTGTCTCCTTGTAGGGATTCCATGGTCCCAGTACCCCATGCTTTGTCTCCATTGGGGGATTCCATGGCCCCCAGTACCCCATGCTTGTCTCCTTTTGGGGATTCCATGGCCCCAGTACCCCATGCCTGTCTCCTTTTGGGGATTCCATGGTCCCAGTACCCCATGCTTGTCTCCTTTTGGGGATTCCATGGCCCCAGTACCCCATGCCTGTCTCCTTATGGGTATTCCATGGCCCCAGTACCCCATGCCTGTCTCTTTATGGGGATTCCATGGCCCCAGTACCCCATGCTTGTCTCCTTGTAGGGATTCCATGGTCTTAGTACCCCATGCTTTGTCTCCTTTTGGGGATTCCATGACCCCCAGTACCCCATGCTTGTCTCCTTGTGGGGATTCAAGGGTCCCTGTACCCCATGCTTGTCTCCTTTTGGGGATTCCATGGTCCCAGTACCCCATGCTTGTCTCCTTTTGGGGATTCCATGGCCCCAGTACCCCATGCCTGTCTCCTTATGGGTATTCCATGGCCCCAGTACCCCATGCCTGTCTCTTTATGGGGATTCCATGGCCCCAGTACCCCATGCTTGTCTCCTTGTAGGGATTCCATGGTCTTAGTACCCCATGCTTTGTCTCCTTTTGGGTATTCCATGGCCCCAGTACCCCATGCCTGTCTCCTTATGGGTATTCCATGGCCCCAGTACCCCATGCCTGTCTCTTTATGGGGATTCCATGGCCCCAGTACCCCATGCTTGTCTCCTTGTAGGGATTCCATGGTCTCAGTACCCTATGCTTGTCTCCTTTGGGGGATTCCATGGCCCCAGTACCCCATGCTTTGTCTCCTTGTAGGGATTCCATGACCCCTGTACCCCATGCTTGTCTCCATGTAGGGATTCCATGGTTTCAGTACCCTATGCTTGTCTCCTTTTGGGGATTCCATGGCCCCAGTACCCCATGCTTTGTCTCCTTTTGGGGATTCCATGACCCCCAGTACCCCATGCTTGTCTCCTTATGGGGATTCAAGGGTCCCTGTACCCCATGCTTGTCTCCTTATGGGGATTCAAGGATCCCCGTACCCCATGCTTGTCTCCTTATGGGGATTCAAGGGTCCCTGTGTCCCATGTTTGTCTCCTTGTAGGGATTCAAGGGTCCCCGTACCCCATGTTTGTCTCCTTATGGGGGATTTAAGGGTCCCCATACCCCATGCTTGTCTCCTTGTGGGGATTCAAGGGTCCCCGTACCCCATGCTTGTCTCCTTGTAGGGACAGGGGTAGAATAGTGGCAGTTGATGTTTCTAAGAATAAATTCATAGAAAATAACTGATATTGACCAAAAGTTGATTGAGTAACAAAAATGCAAGCCATAGAATGTTAAATTACCTTATGGAATATTTTTCGGATTTCTGGTTGAGTGATGTCATCAGCTTTGTATGTTCTATTCCTTTTTTTCACTTTTAGTATTTCAAGTACAGATTATATGTGCAGGCTCTGTGTTTATTTAGTTATATTCCACAGACAGTGTTTTACTTCAACATATGGAAGAGGAGAGATGTGCTGAGTTATTTCCCTTGAAACATTATCAAGCATGTATTCAGACTCACCCATTCTAAATACTCAAGCAATATGTGTAAATATCTCTGTCCCATTCCAGCAAGAGATTCTGGACAAAGATGCACAGATAGAAAAGAGAGGTTCCTCAGGCCCAGAGCTGAAAATCTTCATCAACACGACTGGTGTCTCCTCCATCGGATGTGGGTCAGTACATACTCTAAATGTTTCAGACCTGGGCAAGAAGTCCCTAGCACGCTATTGCTTGTCATAAGAGGTGACTCAATAGGAACCTTTAGCCAGAGACGATGGTTTGTTTGCGTGTAATTGTACCCCAATGACGTGGGATGCTCATGATATCAAACACTGGTCTTCTAACCAAGACTTAATATGATGAAATGTTGCTGATTGCAACACAGAAGAACAAACAAACATCATCATCATGCTTTTTGTTTAACACCACACTCGGGAGTATGCCAGCTGTGTGACAGTGGGCTTGTAAATAATCTAGTCTGGACCACACGATACAGTGATTGACATCACAAGCATCAATGTACACTATTGGGATGCATCAACAAGACTGACCACCCGATCTGATTAGTCGCCTCTTGTGGTAAGCATAGGTCAATTAGCTGGAATATTGCTAAATGCTTGTTGTATACTTGTCGGCCTTATTGGCGGTATAATGGATATTCATGGATATCTGACCCATGGGGTTCCAGGTTAGAATTGGTCCCCAACATCCTATGGTGGTCGTCAGTTAGAGGTTACTAAATCAGATGTTGTCAATCACTGAGTTGTCTGGCCCATACTCAGTTATTTGCAGGCCACCTTTGTGAAGATCGAATATTGCTGAGTGTGGCATTAAACAACACATAAACAAATCCTAAATATGAAAGACAACTATTGGTGAATGACTATGTCATGTATGTTACAGTGATATGCCATTTTGTTGCCAGGATTGTGAGTGGACCATCCCACTTCCCAGGGATCTTTGTAGAGAAGGTGCGCTCCGGGGGACTGGCAGAAGAGGTCAACTTGGAGGTCGGAGATCAGATCATAGAGGTCAATGGAACAAGCTTCCTTGGGATCACGCACAAAGAGGTAGAGTTACCTCCCCTATCTGACACAGCCACTGTTGGCAGGAGTGGGTGAATATGTTGTTTTGTGCTGAAGTGAGAGCTGTGAATATCTTTATAACTGCAGTTTGTAAGTATGAACATAGAGAAGATTGTGTTAATGAATGTATGTTGTTTCATTTGGCATTCAAATAATGGTTTCTGTGATGTTATTCTACAATCTCATTAAAATAAGATTTTTTTTCTTCTGATATTTGTCGCAAACAAGACCTGACGTCAAAGGAGGTCAGGTGAGGTGAACTTTCTAAACAGCCAATCAGTGAGCTTCTAGGACAGGACAAGTAATTTGGTGACTCGGGTCATGTGGGTACTGAGTAGGACCCGGGTACCCGCACTAATACCCAGACCTGAGGTTAATCACACAATATATTGTTTAATGACAAAAATGATATAGAACACAATGGTTACGCGACACATCACTCATGTTCACATTTCTTTCCTATTGACTTGTATATGTTTGTATAAAGATAAAGCTTCAGTTAACTTCAGTGTATGCATTACCAGATCATTTTTAGGTGTATCTAAATACATTTTGCCAGGGCATAGTCAAACTATTCCCAACTGGACATTTTGTTTCCATCTCTTGAGACCTACAGCGGGTAGCCATGTCGGATAGGGTAATAGGGGGTTTGGTACAAGGTAGTAAATTTGGACTCGTCCCGGCCCTAGAGGCTTATACATTTTCTGTATGGAAAAAAAATGAATGCAAATGTACAGTTTTTAATGGAGAATTATCATGACTTTGTACATCATGGTATGTGGGGGATACTTTAGACATTGTCATTTCTGACTGCAGTTAATTCTGCTACCCATGCTTGTCGTGAGAGGCGACGATGCTTGCCGTAAAACAGACCATGCTTGCCGTAAAAGGCGACTAATGGGATCGGGTGGTCAGGCTCGCTGACTTGGTTGATACATGTCATCATATCCCATTTGTGTGCATCGATGCTCATGATCTCAATCACTGGATTGTCTGGTCCAGACTTGATTATTTACAGACCACCGTCATATGGCTGGAATATTGCTGTGTGCGGCGTAAACAACAAACAAAGCAAAAGACTACAGTCAACATCTACACTGAAAAGGTGTACTCAGGTTTGGTTTTGTTCAGACCAAACTTTGTAAATCACATTGGAACGCGTTGGCAAAATTTAGAAGGTTTTTTGGGGGGGGTGTTTAGAAATCTGACACCTGATTGGCTGAAATACCCACACAACAAGTTGTGTGGGTATGATGGTCAGCTTTTGATAAGGCTCACCTGATCTTGATGAAGAGAGGCATTGAATCGGAGTATAGATCTTTTGTGATGAAATTGCTGTGTTGGAATTGTTCACAGACTATATTAGAGATGCTATATTTGCATACAGGCTGTGGTCACCCTGAAGAGTAGTACCCAGCTGAACATGATCATCAAGAAGAAAGTTGTAAGTATATTGCATCCATGTGTTTAGCATCTGTTAAGATTTATCACAACCAATGATTACCTGGTACAAACCAGTGCAGCAGCCTGACGATATTACCAATTGCTCATTACTTCTCACAATGTGAACATAGTAAAGTTTCACCAAATAACATGTAAAACTTTTTGTTGAAATTGCAATTTAGAAAAGTATAAACATACCCATACCCTTCATTCATTTTACACTCAAGGCATGGCAGAGGCCTACAGGCACTGAGCTGTATCTCCGCCAGGATTGGTCGTGGGTTCAAATATCAATATTGCCCTGATTATGATTCTTCTCTGTCTGCACCTTTCATAGTCCTAATGAGTCTCTACAAAGTGGTAAACATATACAAATCCTGTGAATACCAAACCTCAATTACATCATTGCCATAATCCTGTTTGTATAGTGTCATCACACTATAAATATCTTTTCAATTTTCAACAGAAGTCCTCTTCAGCTTATCCTAAGGCTATAAAGTGCGGAAGTACAGTGCTTTTTTTTTATTGTTTTGCTTGTTCAAAATAGATTGTAACCAAATATACAGTTGTGCGCCATCAACCTGGAAAAGGGTCTCCCTACATCAACAAGCATACAAACTCCTATTGCTACATTACCAAAACATGAGATGCATAGTAAAGCAGTGCGCATGTAAAGGGAAGTAACTGTGTGCTATATTGGATCGCATTGTTTTTAAGTATTAGGATCTTTTTTAAAATGGAAATAAAAACGAAACGTACGTCAGACTATATGATGATGCGAGCGGAGCCTGAGAACCAAGACTATTATTTTTTTTTAGCCTAATAAAGTCATTCAATCATTATTTACCCTTATGGGACTTCCGGATTAGAATACGTCCCAAGCAACCTATGCAAGTGGCTAGGTGCGACTTCTTGGATCGAGTGGTCAGGCTCAGCGACTTGGTTGATCAGCAACATTGATCATTGCTCACAATATCTATCATTGATGAGTATGGTCCACACTTGATTATTTACAGGCCGCCATGATATAACTGCAATATTGCATAGTGTAACATTAACAACATGGCCTTATTTAACAGATGACAATAGGAGAGTGATCAATGTGTTGTAGGGGCTGCCACTGTTCCAACATGGCAGTAAAAGACAAAGGAAGCCAGAGCCAGCTGCCAGTTTTAAGCCTACTATTGTGTCTGAGGAGCCAACTCCCGCGCCTGATTCCCGGACATCGTTTCGTACTCTCCAGGAGACCAATCAGGTTGTGAGCAGCAGGTACAGTTACGATGTGCAGAAACGACGGGTCAAGTTTGATGACCATGTTTACCATTAGACGTCCATCTTGGCAATGTGTTTTTGACATTTTCAGAAGAAATATGCTAGGTTTGATTGTTGATGTTGATTAATATGCTACAGTGAAAGTTTTGTACTGACGTGGAATTGTCATGGAGATGTATAGACGTTAACTGTTATCATGCAGAAACAGGGATTTTTAGGAAAATAATGTTTTATGGTAACTGTATGATTTGAAGAAGACACAGACTGATAGACTCGGTGTCACTCTTCATATTCAGTGCAACCCTGTGAATACAGACTTTGTGTTAGGAAATTGTCCAAATTATCAAAAGTCAGATACAATGAATTATCAGCACAAATAGTGTAACTTTATATACATGTGAGAGTTACCAGTATCATCGTCCAGAGGTCGGGTTTCCTTAAAAAATTCAGTTCAGAAAATTTATTAAATTGTGTGTTGTAACTCATGCCTCATTTATCATGGGCAGTCAACTGATTTGTTGGGGAATGTTTTGAATGCTGAAATTCTCATTTATGATTATTTTATTGTGTACTAAACATGTGTCTAAGCTAACTTACCTTGGCTTAGTCAATCAGATGATGAGGATAGGTTGTTAGATATACCATGTACACATCTTACCACATTTATCAGGTTGTACTGTTCATTCTGGTCATGATGAATGGCTGAAATAAGATCTTAAACAACAGATATTATTAAATCTGAAATTATGCCTTGAATTAGATCTGAAATCTAAAACAGTTGCAAGAATTAGATTTGCTACAAGATCTGAGACAATGGGTGGAATAAGATCTGAGAAAAGGGATAGAATTAGGTCTTTTGTTTACTTTTAGATATGAAACAATGGTTAGAATTTATTCAAAATAAATGTTTATTTATGTATTTAGTACATAAAATTGATATTTCACTTGAGTGAAAAAACACTTTATGCCGGAACTGCTTTTAGTCAGCTTCATTGACAGAATGTTTACTGTAAGATTGTGAAGATACAACCTGCAGTAGTTTAGGCTTTCCATCCACAGTGGAAGTAAAAACCCACGATTGATATAACTGAGGTACTGTTGCACTCTCCTACCCAGAGTTCCATGCGACCAGCATAGTACCTCTGCCACAGGTCGGTTCCATATGACGATTCGTCACATCTAACACAGTCAACTCAAGATATTGCATATGTTTTCATCTGTTTCATTTTTGACAAATCTACATTTCTAGATAAACATATGTCATAGAATGGTTAACTTTCATTGAGAAAATATCCTTAATCGTGAAAAACTATTTCCATTTGCGTAGTTATGATATGTTTACATTGGTTATACGGCTCCAGGTACTGTCATCGAAGCCCTATGGAGAGCTAGCGATACGGTCAATTTGATGTGTAAATATGTATTGTCATGCAACTCACTGTCGCAGTTGTAGTAGCATAGTTATATAATTATTCAAAACAATATGTAAAGTGCTCCCAAATACTTGCATTAGTCCGTTCTATACTGATTTCTGAAAAAGCGGGTTCGTTTACAAACGAGAAAAGTCTGGTCACGTGATATGCAAATTAGCCTGTGGTAGTGGTGTTATGCTAACTCATTGCTGCGCCGGAGTGTGGTAGTGTTGAAAGCAGTGTTCAACCCATCTCACCTACTTTGTATGATTCAGAATGAAATATGATGGGGTGAAATAATGATGAATAATGAAGAATTCTAACATATTGACTTTCTAGCTTTCACTGCACACAGTTGCCATCTAATTCTATATCAGACCCCATCATGTCTGCCAGAATATATACTGATATTAGAATACCAGTATCTATATCCACTCAACTATGTCTGGTGGTAGCAGATATGAGAAATATTGACCATGTTTTCAGATTCTGATTGGGCAATGGGCATTATTCCCAACTCAGCTAAGTGGGATGTGTGTTGATATATGCTGTGGCTGTGTAGCTTCCGCTATGATGTCAGATATGTATCTGTGCAGAGCCAAATGCTGTAGAACAGTGATGATGATGATGATGATGATGATGTGACAAATCAGATATGTATCCGTGTAAAACATGCTATGTTCATATAATGTGTTAAACTGTAAGACCAACGAACCTGACTTGAAGAAGATTGCAAGACATTTAATTATTTTGGGGGAGAACCACGCAATTTGAAATGTCCAGGTATTTTTAAAGATTTTTCTTGTTCTTTTTTTTTTCATTTTTTGGTGGTGGGGTTGGGGAGTGGGGGCCACTTACAGATCAAAATACTTCACCGAAAGATGTGATGAATTGGACATCATATCTACCTAACTTCTCCATGTAATAATGTTTCATTCCACTGTGGAAGTTCATAAGTGCTTTGATATGAGTTCATTGACACACCATCACTTGATAAATAGCCTTTGAGCACAAATTTGAAATCATTACCATCAGTTATGTGTGTGAAACTAACTTGAAAGTTCTGGTTGTGTTTGATGAGAGTGCTCTCCCTTTGATTGGTGTACTAAGTCAGGGATTTAAGAAACCTTGGAATTAACCCAGCGAAGTCTCAAAGTTAAGTAAATTATATCCTTCCTGATTTTACTAAAATATGTCCTTCCTGAATTTACTGAAATATATCCCTCCTGAATTAACTAAAATATATCCTTCCTGAATTTACTAAAATGTATCCTTCCTGAATTTACTAAATTATATACCTCTTGAAGTTACTCAAATATCCCCTTTCTGAAGTTACTCAATCATGTCAATGATTCCATCTTGAATTTATTTCTATGAAACCTGGAAGTGAAAATAACTCTTCAGAATTAAGCAAGTACAGAGGTATTGACTTTTCATGTTTATATGGGAATATACATTAAGATGAATACAAGCATTTTGTCAAAGTCACTGCATTTAGAAGTCTGTAGTTTAGTATATGACTTTACACTGTTGTTTTGCAAGAGATGTTTGTCATCTTTTTCTCATTTGTTATGATCTTTAGAGAAATAAAAGTACAGATAATTATGTCTTCTGATGTTACCCTGTTCTACAGTGAAAGATATAGAGAGCTGTTTCAGCATACAAGTCGTACATGCTGTGATTTCACCAGGTTATCTACATCCCCAGCAAGGAAGGAATCATTAGGGATTATCCACTGTATTAGGCTTAAAAAAATAAAAGAATTGGATCTCAGGCAATGACTTTTGAGAATATAGTGCGCAAGGGTGGTGCTTTTTTATTTTTATTTTGCTTGTTCAAACTAGTATGTAACCAAATATACAGTGTACCAACAACCTGGGAAAGAGCCTCCCTACATAAACAAGCATACAAACTCCTATTGCCGCCATTACCAAGACATGAGATGCGCAGTAAAGCAGTGTGCATGTAAAGGGAAGTAACTGTGTGATATATTAGATCGCGTTGTTTTTAAATATTAGGATTTATTTTGATAATGGAAATATAAATGAAACGTGCGGCAAACTATATGATGATGCGAGCAGAGCCTGAGAACCAAGGCTATTATTTTTTTAGCCTTATATGCCCATTCTATTATGATAAAAACCCTGGACCCTTTCACATCCAAATCATTTCTTTGGAAGTGATATCCCCCTCTCCACCTTTCTATCATCAGCTTAGAATAGAAATTGACTCTTCAGAACATGATTTTGGTATAGATATAGTTATAGCAGCTGTGTACATGCTGTAGGAGCGAGCCCTTGATACATTTAATCTAATCAGAAATGTCACTCTTGCTTGACAACGTTATTAGGATCTATACTAAAACATCGCAATAATAGTATTTTAATGTTATCCATAAATTGTGTCTACTTTGACTGTTATGAATGATGTTGAGTGGAAATTATTTTCCTAAGTATTACCATAGGGGAGTCTGTACAGTTATATTGGAGATTTGGTTGGACGGCTCTTTTTTCATAACCAGACTTGAAATGAAAGTATGGTGGTGAACGGTGTCCAGGGTATTTATAAAAATAGAATGGGGATGTAATATACTGTGTGATCAAGGATGGGAAGGACTCTGCTGTGGCCTAAACTTTAAAGTGTTTATATAAGTGCCATTGTATTTGTATCTTTAGCATTATTTGAGAAAATGGGAACATAGTCCACAACCAATGTTTATTATTCTTTTTTATACACAAAATGGAAGTGGCGTTTTGACGTGAAACCATTTTATCTAGGGCCGGGACGGGTCACTCAGTGCTCGGGTCAGGTGGGTACTCTTTAAGGACCCTGATACACACGGGACTACCCAGACCCATGGTTAGTCACATGATATATTGTTTAATGACAAAAAATACCTCGAACTCTGAATAACTACAGGTCACAAATTTTCACATTTCTTTCGGACTATTCACACATTCCTCCTGCCTTATATATTTTTGAATAAAGATAAAAATTCAGTCAAATTCAGTTATGCAAGACCAGATCGTTTTTGTAGTGTACCTAAATACTTTTTGCCAGGGCTCTGGTCAAACAATTCACTATCGGACATTTTGTACAAATCTATTGAGACCTACAATGGGTACCTGGGTTGGGTCAGGGTACAAGGGGGTTGGGTACCCCGGTAGTAAATGTGGACTCGTCCCAGCCCTAGTAGTATCCATTGCAACAATAGTGACTTATGGATGACACTCCATGTTACTTCAATGAAACATATCAGTACCAGTGTACTAGTCATCACCACTTGAATAGAATCACAAAATATCGCAATTATTAATTAAGGAAGATAGCTGCATGTGTTGTAAAACTTATGTTAACAAAATTAAAGCAAGCCATTCCGGTGATAAGGAATATTGCTTACAGAATGACAAAATATGTGCTATGTGCTAGAAAGGTTAAACAGAAACCCAATAAACCAAAATGACGCACATAGTAGACTTTAGTTGAAACTCAAGGACAGGAAGCATGGAGCATATGCTGTGTTTTGTAGTATGTGAGAAGAGGTTTGCAGTTGGGTGATGAACTGGGTGAGTTTAGATGGAAATACACATGTCCCTATGATTTGGTCCTCCTGGTTTAGTTCTTTACTCCAGCTATTGGTTCTATAGCAGTAGTTTTATCAGGAATTCAGTTAGTTTCTATATTCAGTCATGCAATAGTTATTATTGTGAGTTAGTTATTATGTTTTGTATTCGATGGTTAGTTATTGTGATCTGAATGTTCATTAGGTAATTAGTGCAGAATGGGCTTGTGTTCTTCATGCTTCCTGTGAGGATTGACAAGAGTGAGATTTGGATGGTCACAATGTGTCACCAGGCTGGTTATGTGCCGTCCTACACAATGAATTGCTCATGCTACCAACCATTGGTTTGTCCAGCCCAAACTGGATTAATTTCAGACCACCATGATATAGCTGTAACATTGCTGACATAAACCAACACTCACTCACTTAGGAGTAATGGCATGATTGTGTTTTTGTGTTAGAGGCAGTTCTGATAGATGCTTTTGTTTATGAGTTCGTTAATATCAATTATCGTAAATATATTTCAACATTATCACATACATATTGATATGATGTTTTTCAATAGCTCATAATAATAATTCTAGTAAATATGAAACAGCAATAGTAATGAACCTGATATTATTTAGAAGTAATTCTTGCATTGTCTGCAGCAAACATGATCATAAGACAAACAATCTGATGTTAAATCCATGGTACTTGTTTTAAGTTTGATAATGTGAAAAATGTTTGCTATGTGCATAATATTGTTGACTCTTTGTTTAAAGAAAACAGTATCCGCTGCCTCTCTCAGAAATGTCTTCAGTCCTCAGGCCTTGTATTCCATAACTGGATGGTGAATATGTTTGTTTTATTGCAGCACTCACCATGCTTACGAACCTGACGTGCCGCCATTGGATCAAGAAGAGCTGATTCAGCAGCATCTGAGTGAGATATTTATACACATTTAGACACAAGGATGTAGGGAAATACTGCACATATCACATACTCCAAATTTGGCTGGAAGTCTGGATATCTGAAGTCTGGGTTACTGGGGTCTGACTATGTCCGACTTCATAAACACATGACTTGACTGTATTTCCTTGACAAGCATACCCACTATCAAGTGACACAGCAATTTCTACAGTCATGCTTCTAGGTTTGTCACCACCTTACACATGCTCATGGGTTTTACCAAAGTGGTAAATGTCTGAAACATGCATCACTTCTGGCTTTTCGTCTCACATCAAGCAGACACGCCATGATATTACTGGAAAACTGTTCACAGCAGCGTTACACCAAACTCACTGTCTCGCTCTCAAGTGATGCCACAAAGAGAGGATTTATTGCATACATCTAGGTTCACCCTGTTGGTAGTAGGACAGAAATGTATCATGTTTTTTCCAAGGAGTCATATGCTAGTGTCAGTGGAGGCGCTTCATATTCATATTAGTATGAATTGATCAATTAATAATACATTGTTTTATTTTTACAGATTCAAACCGACCAAAATTCATGTCAACTGTGATGGTAGAATCGCCCCGTCCCCAACCACCGCTCGAGGTGGCACCCCTTCCCCCACCTCCGCCCCCAGAGGAACTAGAAGCTACGACCTCATTCTCTGCATGGTCAAGTCCGAGTGAGGCTGTTGACCACACTGCAGACCAGAGTGAGGCTCCAGCTGAAGACTGGCATGAAGAGATGAAATTCTCACATCAGGTATGACAGAAATCACCAGGCCCTCCTATCTCTTGGAATAAAAAGCATTGAATGGGTTTTAAATGAAGGCATATTGGTAGCATAGCTTCCGTATTGGTTGGTGGTTGGTTGGTTGGTTCGTTTGTTGTTTAACGCCGCACTCAGCAATATTCCAGCTACATGACTGTGTGTAAATATTTGAGTCTCGACCAGACAATCCAGTGATAAATATGATGAGCATCGATCCACGCAATTGGGATACAATGACATGCTTCCGTATTGGAACCGAATGCATTTATCATGCGTACAAAAAGAAACACTATCGGATTTGACAGCGGTTGTTAGCGGAATACGTGCACAGCCGCTATGGGAAAGTCGGCCAAATGCAGTGAATATCTTCAGCTGTATCCATCAACAGCCATTAATACAACACCCTTTCAATGTGGTGATAAACAAATAAGTGACAATCAAAGTAATTTGTTTTCTTTTGACTCGAAGTCTTGATTATAAATCATAACATCCATGGCATTGAGCAGCTAGTATTCACATGCATCAGAATTCATTATCTTAAGTAGGAGACATGTTTTTTTTTATCAATTATCACACATAAATGGGCAGTAGTCAGATATGGTCTCCGAAAACATGCTGAAGATGTCTGATATCTCGCCAATCTGCCTACCTGATGCCAGCAATCTTGGTAACTGTGTGGTTGCTCTCTTGTTACTGGAATGTCAAGACCATGCCCCAGCCCGGGCTCAGTTAAAAGAAGTGCAGTTACATCTGCTGTCTGTCGTAGATCTCCTAAAGCAAAGGGATGAAATAGCAAAGGCCAAACTAACTCTATTTCTGAGTAATGGACAGCTACTTGAACATATATAAACACAGCAGCCAAAGATAAAAATGAAATTATATCAACATACGAAAAAAAAATCATATCAATATAAAAATAGAAATTCTATGAATACCCAAACTCCCAATAGACGTGTACCCTACTCACACACACGAGTCCCAAAGACGGACAGGCCAACCAATATTGCTGAAGCAGAAGGCGACCTCTTAAACATTTAAAGCAACAACAACAATGAGAAGGGGATATTTCTTTATTAAACACATGCTCTCGGGTCTGTAAGAGAGACGATGCATTTCTCAATGTTTGTGTACTTCTTTCAGCCTGTGCAGCTTGGTGGGAAGGCGGCCATCTTAGCTGCCCGTCAAGCCAAGAACATGGGTCCAACTCTCCTCGGTCCGAGCAGTATGGCTGCTTTCACAAACATGGAGGACATAGAGGACCCTTATTCGTTGGTAGGTGGGGACAAATATCAAATGGGACTCCATATTAATGTTTCTTCAAAGGATTCTGTAGGATGTGAGAAATCATGCCCCGAAACGTTCCACAGAACATCATTCTAGCTGAAGAGATGACTAAATTTGATACCTTCAGTGTGAGACAAGGTCATCCTACCTATCATGCTATAAGACACTAGTTTCCTAGTGAAGACTCCATTTTTTATAGGCCAGTTTATAAATACTTTGAATTTAACAAATATATCCGAAACTCCTAAGAAAATCTGCAATAATTTGGAAAGCTTAGATAGCTGCTTTCTGTTATATTAGAAGTCGTTTTTATTAAAAACATCTTTCAATGTTATCATTTTAGAGACTAAATGTTAGCCAATAATTGTCCTATTTCATTATTTTTGACAAAACTTTTCCTCAGAGTGTCGATAATGACAAAACAAGGGAGACAGCCCATGTTAGTCAAGATGACTGATTTGGGTGACACAATAGCAATATTGAGAGACAAATGCTGTTCCATGTGTGCCTTTTATCAGATAGAACTAACTATGTAGTAGACTAGAGAATGCTTGGTTGTTAAATTGTTTGCTTTCAATTTGAATAATTCTACCACTTGCCTTGGTCTGCAGTTTCCCCCTGAGGTGAGCGATGGCAAGGATCTGTCTGTGATCACCATTGCAGTCGGTGAGGTAAGTGTAGTCTGTCTGCCAGACCCTAGAGCATGTTTTTTAAAAATTAAGTCTAATTCAAGTCTAGAATGACTTGGCAAGTCTAGATTCCCTGAGCTGAAATTAAGAATTGTTCAGGGCTCCTAGGGATTTTATTTTTCATATTTTGTAGATATATTTTTAAATTAAGATAACTTTATTTCTGGGACTGATTGTCAGTCTAAGGTAAGTAATTCTGTTTGGTCAATAAAAGATTACTAACCTGTATTATAATTTTTTTTGATGACTTTCATCATTTCTTTTTTATGAGAAATTAATCACTTTTTCCAGATCCCAGTCACCCAGTGCTCAGTGATGTAGTGACAACATATTTTTAAGAATAAATTAAAAAGTATTTTTAAAAATGTTTTGCAGCAGACGATCATGGAAGCCAAAAATGTATCAATTATAAGATAAACCTTGTGTGTTTTCAATTTAGAGCTTTCAAACTACCTGTAAATCTAATTTGAACCTGAACAGGATACTTATTTGAAGAGGTATCAATGACGTACAGCCAAACTTTCAAAATGAATTATTAAGTCATTTCTATTTCCCTTTGAGCAGGCTTTCATTGTTTACCGGTAAGTATTCTATCTGCAAGTTTGGTACTTCAGTTTATTCATGAAATCAGTTTATAATATGAAATTAATATAGTCACAACATCTATACAGAATGAGTCCCTGGGAATCGGCGTTGAAGGTGGAATTGGTACCCCACTGGCTGACAAGATCCTTGTGGCAGACATATATGGGGCTGCCGAGAGACAGGGTAGGTAACTCTTGCAAATCTCAAGCACAACAAGAAGTGGTGACAAACAAACTGTTGTTTCCTTATGTTCGTGGAAGATGGAACTGAACTCAGTATTTGGATCTCAGTTGAAAAAGTGATTGTTTGTCTTGATGAAGACCCCGCTCTCTTGTGGGGTGGTTTGCTCACATTGTCCTCTTCTAACATTTCTCAGTGAAGTGATTGGCTTAAACCTTTAAGAGACTGGGTTTTATGTGTAGGATAAAGCACGTGCAATTGTTTTTATGATATATAAAACCCACATTTGTGGGATAAGGGTTTTAAATATCATAAAACCCCAAGGTGAAGTGCTTTATCTAACTTATAAACTGAAAAAAGAAACTTTAAACATTTACATACTTTCCATGAACCCTAAGAAACGGGCGTAAAATATCTGTTGCTGGCGTTCGGTTCTTGAAAAAGACATTCTAAAACGCATTGCGATTTATCAGCGTCTCATGGCTATGTGGAACACTCACTTGGCTACAGATACGAAGGTTGCGTGTTCGATCCTCGGGAATATAAAGAAAACTTTTGTCATTTGACTTTACATTTCATTACATGTTACAATCTGAACGGAAATTGTACTAATAAAATACCCGGGATATTATAAAACATTATATTGCAACAATGCCTGGAATATCCTATGAAATCCTGGGGATATATATAAAATACCAGGGACATTACAACATCCCTGTTTATGAGATTTAACCCGATTGGAGAACAATAGGATGATGTCACTGGAGGGTTATAATACTGTTTATTCACCCCCCCATCCCCTTCAAACCCCCCAAAATAAAAAAAAACATGGTGAGTCCTAACTGCTTTGTTTTCTGTATACAGGTGAGATAGTCCGCAGTGCTATGTTCTCTGTATGCAGGTGAGATAGTCTCTCTGTATACAGATGAGATAGAGTCCCAACTTCTAAGTTCTCTGTATACAGGTGAGATAGTCCGCACTGCTATGTTCTCTGTATACAGGTGAGATAGTCTCTCTGTATACAGATGAGATAGAGTTCTAAGTTCTCTGTATACAGGTGAAATAGTCTCTGTATACAGGTGAGATAGTCTCTCTGTATACAGGCGACATAGAATCCCAACTGCTAAGTTCTCTGTATACAGGCGAGATAGTCTCTCTCTGTATACAGGCGAGATAGAATCCCAAGTGCTATGTTATCTGTATACAGGTGAGATAGTCTCTCTGTATACAGGCGAGATAGAATCCCAACTGCTATGTTCTCTGTATACAGGTGAGATAGTCTCTCTGTATACAGGCGAGATAGAATCCCAACTGCTATGTTCTCTGTATACAGGTGAGATAGTCTCTCTGTATACAGGCGAGATAGAATCCCAACTGCTATGTTCTCTGTATACAGGTGAAATAGTCTCTCTGTATACAGGCGAGATAGAATCCCAACTGCTAAGTTCTCTGTATACAGGTGAGATAGTCTCTCTGTATACAGGTGAGATAGAGTCCCAACTGCTGTGGTCTCTGTATACAGGTGAGATAGAGTCCCAACTGCTATGATCTCTGTATACAGGTGAGATAGTCTCTCTGTATACAGGTGAGATAGTGTCCCAACTGCTATGATCTCTGTGTACAGGTGAGATAGTCTCTCTGTATACAGGTGAGATAGTCCCAAATGCTATGTTCTCTGTATACAGGTGAGATAGTCTCTCTCTATACAGTCGAGATAGAATCCCAACTGCTATGTTATCTGTATACAGGTGAGATAGTCTCTCTGTATACAGGCGAGATAGAATCCCAACTGCTATGATCTCTGTATACAGGTGAGATAGTCTCTCTGTATACAGGTGAGATAGAATCCCAACTGCTATGTTATCTGTATACAGGTGAGATAGTCTCTCTGTATACAGGCGAGATAGAATCCCAACTGCTATGATCTCTGTATACAGGTGAGATAGTCTCTCTGTATACAGGCGAGATAGAATCCCAACTGCTATGTTCTCTGTATACAGGTGAGATAGTCTCTCTAAAAACAGGCGAGATAGAGTCCCAACTGCTAAGTTCACTGTGTACAGGTGAGATAAAGTCCCAACTGCTATCTTCTCTGTATGGGGCGGTCGGGTAGCCTAGTGGTTAAAGCGATCGATCGTCACGCCGAAGACCAGGGTTCGATTCCCGACATGGGTACAATGTGTGAAGCCCATTTCTGGTGTCCCCCGCCGTGATATTGCTGGAATATTGCTAAAAGCGGCGTAAAACTATACTCACTCACTCACTCTTCTCTGTATACACGTGAGATAGTCTCTGTATGCAGGTGAGATAGTCTCTGTGTACAAGTGAGATAGTCTCTCTGTATACAGGTGAGATAGTCTCTCTGTATACAGGCGAGATAGAATCCCAACTGCTATGTTCTCTGTATACAGGTGAGATAGTCTCTCTGTTTACAGGTGAGATAGAGTCCCAACTGCTATGGTCTCTGTATACAGGTGAGATAGAGTCCCAACTGCTATGGTCTCTGTATACAGGTGAGATAGTCTCTCTGTATACAGGTGAGAAAGAATCCCAACTGCTAAGTTCTCTGTATACAGGTGAGATAGTCTCTGTATACAAGTGAGATAGAGTCCCAACTGCTATGTTCTCTGTATGCAGGTGAGATTGTCTCTGTATACAGGTGAGATAGAGTTCCAACTGCTATGTTCTCTGTTTACAGGTGAGATAGTCTCTGTATACAAGTGAGATAGAGTCCCAACTGCTATGTTCTCTGTATACAGGTGAGATAGTCTCTGTATACAGGTGAGATAGAGTCCCAACTGCTATGTTCTCTGTTTACAGGTGAGATAGTCTCTGTATACAAGTGAGATAGAGTTCCAACTGCTATGTTCTCTGTATACAGGTGAGATGGAGAAGGGGGACCAACTGCTGATGGTGAGTGGACGTAGCTTCCTCGACCTAACGTCAGCCCAGGCCCTCAACATCCTCCGCGAGGCCGAGACCAACAACATGGTATGTAACATCATCGACCACCATACATTGCACTCTCACCTTGACAGGCTGCAGGGATGTTTCATGGATAAGATCAAAGATGGAAACAGCAAATATTGTCTATGTTGAAAAGTGCCATGGCCTGTTGTAAGGACCTATGAACACCTGGGTTAGATTTGGTCTTCAGCAACACGTGCTTGTCGTAAGAGACGACATACAGGATCAGGAGGTAAAAATTACTGACTTGGTTGATGCATGTAATCATATCCCAATTGTGTGGAACAATGCTCATGATGTAAATCACTGGATTGTCTGGTTCAGACTCGAATATTTACAGACCGCTGTCAAATAGCTGTGATATTGCTGAGTGTTGCATTAAGCAAGGAACAAACAAACAAACAAACACACACACAAAACCTATTGTAAGGGAATTAGTCAGAGGTGGAAGCAGGATTTTTAAAAGGATGTGAGGCAGTACAGAAGTGATAGAAGGGCACAGTTGACATGCACAGGGTGTCTGAACAAAGGGCTTTGTGCCAAGCTTAAACATATTTTGTAGACTTGATTCGTAAGACAGTGACTGAGACCTCTTGCATTGTACCATTTCACATGTCAGCCTTATATATAATGGTGTCATGGCTCAGGATGCTGAGCTGCACTGAACATTACGACCCATGAAGATAAGGGGCAGAATAGGTGTTCGGCAACCCATGCTTGCCGAAAAGGCGACAAGGCTTGTCGTAAGAATCGACTAATGGGATCGGGTGGTCAGGCTCGCTGGCCTGGTTGATGCATGTCATCGTATCCCAATGATGTCAATCACTGGATTGTCTGGTCCAGACTCGATTATTTACAGACCGCCGTCATATAGCTTGAATATTGCTGTGTGCGGCGTTAAACAACAAACAAACAAAACAAACCTCTGAACATTCCACCCCTACCCTAAGTCATCCCATGTTGATTTCAAATAAGACAGGTTAACTATATTCATATGAAACAATCGGATGTACTTCTTTTCAATAGTACATGTATATTAATGTCAGTTTAGTTTAATTTAGTCTGGACTAAAAAAGGTTTCAGTGTATATACTCAATCACACTGCCTTATGGTGATAGTAGGAATGGTCTTAATCAGATCTAAGAGACCAATTACTAATTAGACAGTGTGATTAATTATCCCAAATTACTTTTACATTTGTTTAATACAACTGATAAAAGTATTAGTTTAACAAAGTGAGTTTATGAGTTCACCATGTCCCTGTATGTAACTTGAATGTTCCCCAGGGTTCTGTGAAGGTGATTGTGGCCAAGGGAGGATTGCTCAATGATGAGGATGCTGTGTAAGTAGCTTTAACCTTATTCCTGCTGAAGGCAGATAAATCTGCCCTTTGGGTTTCAAGGTTTGTGGGTCAGTGTTAATGATAAAAAAAATCAAAAGGGCTTAGCGAAAAAAGAATAAATGGAATGGATGAAGCTAGTTTCTTATTGTCATTAGTTAGGTAGGTCCATAGGCAGAATATACTATTGACTTGAACCAAACTCTTCATGAGGGAACTTAGAGGCAGAATCAGGATTTGTTAAGGGTGAGGTGGGATTGGTGGTGGTGGAGGAAGGGTCGGGTGTGTGTTCAGGGTGTGCAAATTGGTTGTGCATTGGATTTGCATGCAGCAATTTTATAATGTGACTTGAATGAGTGAGTTGCTTTGAACAGTATTTAAACACTTAGGTTAAATCCATGGGTACGGGAATGGCAAAACAAGGGGGGTGTTACCTTCCAGGGATATCTTCACTTTACTGTATACACTAATATTTCAATAAAAGCAAGTTTTTTTTGTCAGTGGGGTTCAATAATTATATTTTGTTATTTTCAAAGGGGGTGGGGTTCAGAACCCATGATTCCCACCCCATAGATCTGCCATTGGACTCACAACCAATCTGTTTCACCATTACCACTGAATAAGTTCTTAATTGTTCCTCTTATGGCTAGGCTACATTGTGTGTAGGTATGTCTGTCAGGAGCTTTACCACATTCCTGAGGCAAGAGAGTTAACTGACTGAAGTCCAGTTTCCACCCTTGCCGAACTAGGCTGGTATTCCTGGTCTCGATCGTAGCCCCACCAGTGGCTTTTACCTGTTATGTCCCTTCTAGGGGCGGTCGGGTAGCCTAATGGTTAAAGCGTTCGCTCGTCACGCCGAAGACCCGGGTTCGATTCCCAACATGGGTACAATGTGTGAAGCCCATTTCTGGTGTCCCCCGCCGTGATATTGCTGGAATATTGCTAAAAGCGGCGTAAAACCATACTCACTCACTCACTATGTCCCTTCTAAGGCTCTCCAATCAGATTCCACCTCTAGTATCACTTGCGTTTGCTTCACACAAAATGGTGGCGCCCGGTCAAGACAATCTGATCGATAATCAAGATCTATATTGTAATAAAACGGGTCTTACATCGTGAAATGCATCAAATCACGTGAACACATGAAAAGATTTGGAACATAACAAGTTGGCAGTGCACATGCTTTGCAAATCCTGCAATCGACTGAAATCTGCTCGACAGTTTATGAACCGGATTTCAATTTCGGTGCGTGATTTTGATTGGACTATGCATAGACTCGTTAGTCCGGCCAAAATGTAACTCCATAATACCAGCCTTGTTCGGCAAGGGTCGAAACTGGACTTTTATAGTCAGTTAACTCTTTTGCCTCGGGAAGATGGAGTTTTACCTGTGTCAAAAAGAGCAATTCCAATTACCCAAGATATAAGACTATTGGCATCCCACAACACTATAATGGGGATTGTTTGGTTACAATGGCTGTTAGAGCCACACGTTTGTGTTCTTATTCATGGATTTATTTTTGCTCGAAAACTTCTGGTCAGTTGGTCGGAAAACATTAAAGTGAGAAATTTATTTAAGATTTATTTTGTTTATTTTGTACCTTGAGAAGTTATTTGTTGCCCTGTAAGCAGTGATAGTTGATCTTGTCTGTCCTGCAGTTAAATTATTCTTTTGTATAAACATTTCACAATATTTACTTACATATGTATTCGTATATTGCAGAATAAAAATCCTAAGAGACCTAAGTCTCACCAGTGTAATTATTATGCTATTTGTTTACATAAAGCTACCTATGGAACTACATTGAGTTTAAGAGACACAGAAATATTTTGGATGTTTGTTTTGGCTTTCAGGACCTACTTCTAGTACAGGACTGCTGGAAACTATGGAAACCAGGAGTCTTGGTCCAACCACTCCACTGATAGATTTCCATCATTGTATTTCTTGGTAAACAGATATACCATACAAAAATCAAAGAAAAGAAATCAAATAACTCTTCAAGTTGTACCTTTTTAAAAAGAATTTTGTAAGGGCATTTATTTTTTATTGGTTGGTTTACAGAGGTTTTGGTCTAAATTCAATGTAGATGGTTGAAATATTGCTTCGTTAAATTTCAACTTCCAGATCAGTATTGCTGATTGGTCAACTTTGTTTTGATCAAAAGTCATTATTATTTTTTTCAAATTTCAGTGTAAATGTCAGTGTCGTAAACCAACTTTAGAAAAAGGCCTAATGAACACAACCCTCCAAAGTGGCTCCCTATGTCATTGATGCAAAGTTTGATTTGACTTCTTACAACACTCCAGTATGCAAATATTGAAACAAAATTGTTCAAAACTTCATCCTTCCAGCAATTCCTTTTGAAGGTCACTTCAAACAGATGTTGTTGCATTTATTCTAACCACTCTGTTTTAAGAACACTCTGTGAGAACCATGTTATGTGAGCACAGACTTTCAGATCCCAGATAAGCACAGGTTCCACCTCACACTGACATTAATAGAATTATACCTACAGAGCTTCCACAAAGATTGTCCATCCCAAGGCTCTCCTCAAGAATGAATAACATGTTATTTTTATATTCAAACTTGACTTAATTTACATTTCCCAAATGTTCTTACAATGTTTAAGTGAGTTATCCTCTGTCATAATGTCAGTCTTTTATACACTAATGTCTTCCTGTAGAGGTATGTGAGTGGATTAATTCCTGTATGCAAGTATTGATGCAATATAATTGTTATTAACCCATCTCATAGGGATTATGGCTGACTAATCATCTTCAAAATTAAGCATTGATTCATCTTGCCTAGAAAAAGGTTTTTGCATGTGTAACAAAGCTTTGTCAATATTTTTTGTATGAAAACAGGCTCACTGTAAGAATATCCAAGGTTCTATGTTTTGATATATTATTTACTCGTATTTATTTGTATACAAGAAGCATTATTCAGTGTTTGAATATATTTCAGAAATATTAAATATTTAATTAATTTAATTTCAAACTGAAAAATGTGTTTTACGAATTTGTGCATCAAGGATGAAAAGCACATGACACCATTATCCATGTTTGTTAAGTCATGTTATTGGGACACATGTTGCCCAGTTGTCTAATGTGCTGCATTTTCACCATGCAGAGTTATGTCCCTTAGATGTGCTGTGATCCTCTAATCATTGGTTTGAATCCCAGAAATGCTGTGATTATGATCATTGGTTTGTCAGCACCATACACATGTCCCCAAGTTTCAAATAAATGGGGGGCGGTCGGGTAGCCTAGTGGTTAAAGCGTTCGCTCGTCACGCCGAAGACCCGGGTTCGATTCCCGACATGGGTACAATGTGTGAAGCCCATTTCTGGTGTCCCCCGCCGTGATATTGCTGGAATATTGCTAAAAGTGGCATAAAACCATACTCACTCACTCAAATAAATGGTCTTTAGCTTCACCACTTTGGACCATATCAAGCAGACACGCCATGATATAAGTTAAACTCACTGGTACAAATTTAGACTGTTTATGTTGAAGGTCATAGCATAAGCTGATGCAGTAATTGGAAACTTCAGGTGTTGAAGTTTGACAAATTTTAATTTTTACTAAAACATGATAAAACAGTTATCAAAAATTTAAGAGGCATTTTACCTTTAGCAAAAGGTTAAACGATTGTACATGTTTGTGAGTGACTCATTGATATTTTGAGCAACGAACACTTCCGTTGGAATACGATGACACAGTGTTAGCCATGTTAACCAACCTCATCAGCCATGTGAAGATTGGGATTAGAATCGGTCTCCACCAACCCATGCTTGTCATACGAGGAGATTAATGCGATAGAGTGTTCAGGCTTACTGACTAGTTAATGTACGATATTGTATCCCAGTTGCACAGATTGATGCTCATGATCTCAATCACTGGTTTGTCAGGTCAATACTGGACTATTTACAGACCGCCCTCATATACCTGAAATATTGCTGAGTGCAGCGTTAAATGACAAACAAACAAATCTTACCTAAAACAGCATAGGTTACTGGGAACCAATTCCAACTCAGAATCCTCACTTTGGGTTATTATGTTTATTAGTAAACATGTTGTGATTAGCAAGCAAATAAACAACACTGTAATTTAATGGGGTTTATTAGTCTGTTTCATGCCTTCATATAATTACTGTCAGTTTCACCAATTACTGGGGCGGTGGGGTAGCCTAGTGGCTAAATTGTTTGCTTGTCACGCCGAAGACCCGGGTTCGGTTCCTGACATGGGTACAATGTGTGATGCCCATTTCTGGTGTGATATTGCTGGAATATTGCTGAAAGCGGCGTAAAACCATACTCACTCACTTCACCAATTACTCTGATTGCATATGATGCAGTCAAGACTGTTGGTTTCAAGTTGCTCCGATGTGCACTCATGCTCTAATCTAGATGAGGCAAAAAACAAGTATGTGTGCTTCCTATTAGCCATCCAAATATAGGGTAGGTACGTCAGGGTTGTTTTAAAAAAAATATATTTTAAAATTCTTCTTTAAAATACGCTAATTTGCCTGCTGTCACATGACAACTAAGTGTTGCATACTGAAGATAATGACTGATTTATCTGTAGTGAAGTGCAGCAAATTATATGTTACATAAACACAAAATACTGAAAAAATTGTGTAGCAACTTGGGGAAAAAACACGAAAAAGGGTTTAGATCAGTTGCTTCAGGTTTGGGTTGCTTGAGAGACCCAAACATTTTTTTTTGGAGTGGGCTTTATGTCAATTAGGCTGCGGAATTAAAACCTAAGAGACTGATAAGCTCATCCACTTAAAGTTAAGTGACGTCTATGTTGAAACGAGAAAACTGTCTCCCCAACAGAAGTAATATACACATGGACAATAATTAAGCAACACTAAATATTGCCATACAAAATAGCAAGTTACTAATATACAGAACGGTAAATTGATTCTGTAATGGCATATTTGTAACTATTCCCTGGCAATATTTATTTACGAACTTTCAGTTGCCTCACATGCTTTGATATTATCATGTCCTTGTGACCATCTGGGGTCTTAGGCCAACTTTCCTACAGGTATCCTTGTTAACTTAGATAGTCACCATGTTGGAATCTTAAGTAGAAAGAGAGTGCTGCAAACAGCTACTCATTAAACTTGTCCTGTAAATTGGGTGAAAGGCCTTGGTTGATAATGTCATTGTATCCCCATTGCGTAGATTGATGCTCTTGATGTCAATCCCTGGATTGCCTGGTCCAGACTGGATTATTTTCAGACTGCTGGAATATTACCGAGGGCCGTGTTAAACAAAAACAACATCTACTAGGCAGATCTAAACCATTCTTACTGTATACAACCATGCAATATCCACCGATTCTTCCATTACATTCCTGCTTGGCGTGTAGCTGCAGGAGTTGTGCCAATCAAGCTTTCTATTTTGTGATGATTATTATTTTTATTACATTTATACACATAAAGTCAAGTCATATTTCAATCAAATCTGGTCAATTTGTGATTGTTTACCTCAACTGTTTTGCCAATAAACCCTTTAGTCCACATTTATTTGGTTGCTGTTCTCACTGACAACATTGAAGTGTTCAAATTTTAGGTTGCCTGCCTCCATGGTGTAGTGGATAGAGTGTTTGCCAGGAACCTGGAAGGTTCGGTCTCCTGGTTCTGTCTTACCAACATACGTCAAAAGATGCCACTTGTTGGTAACCTGCCTGGTGCTCAGCATTAAGGGTCTGGCTACCTTGGAGAAGACAATTTTTTGTGTCTGAGTGGGGTATTCATGTCAGATTACTTCATGGTATCTCAGTTGGCTAGCTAGCACTATAAAACCAACACAAGTCAGGACAAGTAAAAGCATGTGTGTCTGCATGCAGGCACTCACATACACTCATACACACACACCAACTCCCTCACACTCGTGCATGCGTGTGTATATATGCAATAATCTTGAACGAGATGTTAAACCCCATTTGACCTCACCTCACCTCACCTCACCTCCTGGTTGAGTGAAACAATGAACAGTGATGTGCATATACATGTATAACAAGGGCAGTCATTCTATCGAAAGAAGGGGCGGTCGGGTAGCCTAGTGGTTTAAGCGTTCGCTCGTCACATCGAAGACCCAGGTTCGAATCCCAACACGAATACAATGTGTGAAGCCCATTTCTGGTGTTCCCGCTGTCATATTGCTGGAATATTGCTAAAAGTGGCGTAAAACCATACTCACTCACTCACTCACTCACTATTGAAAGAAAACCATTGTATTGACAAAAACCCCTTGTATCCAATCATGCAGGTGAACATTTGCTTATCCTTGAAGGAGGTTAATGATCCTTTGACTTAGTCAGGACAGCCTCTCTGTGTACGAACATCAACCATTCATATGTACAAAGTGAAATAATACTATACTAAATATTGTCTTTTTAACAAGTACGTATACTTTCTTCTGAGTGAGTGAGGTTGCCTCTGTGGTCTAGAGGTAGAATATCTGCCCGGAAAACGGAAGGTCGGGGTTCGTTCCTGGCCATGTCATATCAAAAGACGTTAAAAGATGGTATTTGTTGTTACCCTGCCTGGCGTTCGGCATTAAGGTGCTTACACAAGGACTGGTTTTCGAGTTAAACTGCACCAGTCTCAGTGGGCTTGCACTATAAAATCGGCATTAGTGTGGTCTAGTACAAGCAGCCACACATACATGCATGCACATCACCATATAAGTGCAATAATCTTGGACATGATTTTAAACCCCATTTCACCTCACCTGACATCATGTCGCCAGTGGGGTAGTCATCACCATGTTTGACCATGTTCCTCCTGTGGTGGAGGTGAGGAGAAATTGAGTTTATTGTGTCTTTCAATAATATTGCACTGATACAGTTACATGCAGTGTATGTGTGGCTGCTTGTACTTATGCCAGTTTTATAGTTCTAGCACACTCAGATACCATGCTGCAGTTTAATATGCATACCCCATACAGACTAAGTATACTGATTCCGAGACGAGTTCTTGTTATATCCATTTATTGCCATGCACCAGGCAGGGAAACAACAAGTACCATCTTTTAACGTCTTTTGGTATGAGGCAACCAGGGGAATAAATCACCAACTTTCTGCTCTCCAGGCAGACTCTCTATCCACTACACCACAGGCGGTTTCTAGGCAGACACTCTATCCACTCATCACAGAGACGGTCTCCGGGCAGATGCTCTATCCACTACAGCATGGAGGAAGTCTCTGGGCAGACGCTCTATCTATAACACCACAGAGACGGTCTCCGACAGACACTCCATCCACTACACCACAGAGATGGTCTCTGGGCAGACTCTCTATCCACTATGCCACAGAGGCGTTCTCTGGGCAGACGCTCTATCCACTACACCACAGAGGTGGTCTCCGGGCAGACGCTCTATCCACTACACCACAGAGGTGGTCTCTGGGCAGACACTCTATCCACTACACCACAGAGGTGGTCTCCGGGCAGACACTCTATCCACTACACCACAGAGGTGGTCTCTGGGTAGATGCTCTATCCACTACACCACAGAGGTGGTCTCTGGGTAGATGCTCTATCCACTACACCACAGAGGCGGTCTCCAGACACACTCTCTATCCACTACACCACAGAGGCTGTCTCTTGGCAGACACTCTATCCACTACACCACAGGGGTGGTCTCCCACAGACGCTCTATCCACTAAACCACAGAGACGGTCTCCGGGCAGACACTCTATCCACTACACCACAGAGGCGGTCTCTGGGCAGACACTCTATCCACTACACAACAGAGACGGTCTCCGGGCAGACACTCGATCAACTACACCACAGAGGCAGTCTCTAGGCAGACACTCTATCCACTACACCACAGAGACGGTCTCCGGGCAGATGCTCTATCCACTACAGCATGGAGGAAGTCTCTGGGCAGACACTCTATTCACTACACCACAGAGACGGTCTCCGGGCAGTCACTCGATCCACTACACCACAGAGGCGGTCTCTGGGCAGACACTCTATCTACTGCACCACAGAGGCGGTCTCTGGCCAGACACTCTATCCACTACACCACAGAGGAAGTCTCTTGGCAGACACTCCATCCACTACACCAAAGAGGCGGTCTTCGGCAATATCAGGTCAAATGATCAGTCCACTATACCAGGGATGGGTCTGCTGCGGCAGAGTAAGGTCCTGTCAATACACTGTGTCTGAGTGGGGTAGTTATGTTAAACTGTGGCATGGTATCTCAGTGGGCTAGCACTATAAGATCAGCTTCAGTCCAGACTAGTACAAGCAGACACGCACGCACGCACGTA